TAACTTAGAAAATGGTTGGAGAAGGATCTCTACTACTTAGAGTGCTAATTAACAAATATAGAAGGAATGAAAGAAACAGAAAATTAGTATTTTGCAACCAACAATATACTCAAGTATAGATTATCAATAAATACTAAAACCACCAGGTAAAATGCTGGAAGACAAGATATTCACACAGTTACTTCCCCCAAACTACTTACTAATTACAAAGGAAAAAATGTGCCCTTACAATGGAGAAATCAGCCAGATGCCACTTGCTGTGAGTAAAGTTAATATCACAAATAACAAGACAAACTAACATTATATATCTTTATGTGAAGCAATGGGACATATATAATCTCATTTATAGAGGACTCTTTCAAAAATTATTAAATGAATTATAAGCAAACAGACAAAACCAGATAGTGGGATTCTATTAGTCAACTGGATATTGGATCAGGGAAGAACTATAGATTATTGAAATAAAAAACTTTACTATTATATTTCCCCTGGTATGACTATGGCATTATACTTGCTGTAGAAGAATGTCTTTGTATTAACAAGTTATGCAGTGAAGTGTTTTTTGAGATGAAGTGTCATGGTGCTTGCAACTTTCTATCAAATATTTTAGAATAAGGACTTGGCTATACTTTTTGTCTCCAATTCTTCTACTCCTAGTCTTGATTTAGTCACTTTCATCCCTCACCATTTCACCAGAACCATTGATATCACCAATGATCATTACTTTGCCAAATCCAATGGTCATCCTTAGTCTTTATTTTATTGAGCTCTATTCTCATTAAAATTCTCTTTACTGTATGTCCCACAACACTGAATTTCCTTCTGCAAAGCTCTGGCAGTTTCTTCTCAGATGCTTTGGATGGTCCCTCCTCATTCCCTCTGCCTCTAAATGCTAGAGGGCATGAATATCTATTTTTGAGCCTCTTTTCTACCTGTATTCACTACCCTGGTTCTTTCACTTTCAGAGGTTTATACAATGAAGATTCCCAAATTTATGTCTCTATCCCTGACTTCTTCCGGGAACTTTTATTTGATTCCTTACAATGTCTAGTTGGTATCTGACATTGGAATCATCAAATTAACATTTGGGGAAAAAAAAGAATTTTGATGTTCTCTTGCAAACATGTTCTAATCATAATCTTCATTATTTCACCATTATTGCAACTACTCCCCATTTTTTTTTTTTCCGTTTTCTGGCTTTATTTTATTTTATTTTATTTTTTAAAGAGAGAGTGAGAGAGGAGGGAGAGAGAGAGAGAATATTCTTTTTAATATTTATTTTTCAGTTCTCAGCGGACACAACATCTTTGTTGGTATGTGGTGCTGAGGATCGAACCCGGGCCGCACGCATGCCAGGCGAGCGCGCTACCGCTTGAGCCACATCCCCAGCCCCGTTTTCTGGCTTTAATCTACTAGCCAGAGCAGCCAAAAGTGATCCCGTTAAAAATAAAAGTCATATCCTCCTCCTCAGCTCAAAACCTACAATGTTCTTCATCTCACAGGAGAGGTTCATACTCTTTTAATGGCCTACAAGACCTTCAAATCTGATTCCAAATTACCCTTTTGCCCTCTATTTTTTGCTTCTCCACCCTCTCCACTCCAGTTACAATGTTATTTCTACTAATCCTCAAACACAACAGATAAACTATAGTTTCAAAGCAACTCATGTTATTTTCTCTGCTTTCAGTCTTCCTATGCATAGCTCATTCTCTACTTTCTTAAGTCTCTGCTCAAATGTTTTTCTTGTCTGATTATCATCTGTCTCCTCTCACCAGAATATAAGATCCACAAGATCAGGTGTTTGTGTATGTCTTTCATACATATGTCTAGAATAATTTCTTGTATACAACTGGTGCTCAGTAAGTATTTGATGGGTTAAACTATGAAAGCTGGGGCACTGAAGAATGTTGAGTAGAATAAAAGACCAGATATCCTTTTCTCATTAGTGTCTATTAAATTAGACTCAGCTAAAAAAAAAAAAAAAAGAGGCCTTTTTTTGTGATGCTGGGGATTGAACCCAGGGCCTTGTGCATGTGAGGCAAGCACTCTACCAACTGAGCTATATCCCCAGCTCCTTTTTAGGAACACATTGTTTGTTCATGTTCTAAATAAAATTCCATAGGTATTATTATTATTCAGCTTGCATTAATTATCTACAAAAAAGTATTGCCATGCAAATTAATTGAACTATTAATACAGATAAGGTTATGTAAGAAATAAAACTGATATAAACTTCATTTATAGGTATATCACAAACTCACTGAGGCAAATGCATTGATGAAAACCTAATATGTTAATTACATGCATAACTTTATCCAGTAATTAAAGTGAGTCAAGAAGGATAACTTCAGCAGCACATGGAGATAGGAGATATTACTTTGCATACATCAAATTAACAACTTATAATTAACATTTTTATAATTTATAATTCTAATTAATAAGATATTATTACAATTCCATAGGAAAATATATCAATAGAAAGAGTAGTTCATTTCAGTTGTTATAACCATGAACCTGTTACCTCCCCTAATAAGTTATACTTCAGGAATTAAACTCTTGTTACAAGTTTGTATAACCCAATGTAAAAAGAGAAAGTTTAAGTAGTTTGAACTAAAATTTCTTTTAAAAATCAAACCAAACAATGATTAAAGGTACTTATTTTTCTGAAGAATTAAGTATATTGGAGACTCAAGCAACAGAAGGACCAAGGAATGACATAATCTCATACTGACCCTCTGTGGTTTACTAAAGTATAACAGCAGAAAATCAAACACACAAATCCACCAAAACACAAATGCCATAAACCATACTTTGAGGTTTATAAGGTGCCTTATAAATATCTTAAATTGAACAAGAAAGGAATTATTAGTCCCACTTTCCAAATGAATAAACTAATGTTCAGAAAGATTAGCTCATTGATCTCATATGATGTAGAGTATGTAAAAGACCCTTTATATTTTTATACTCACATGTACACATATGCATGTATATAATATAATAAGCGTTCAGGTAATCCAGGGCTTTCAAAAATATTACAGTGTAGAATGTTTAAAACATTATTGTAATTGTTTGAGAAAGTTAATTTTTCTCCACTCAATTAAAAGAAAAAGAATATATATACACCCAAGAGTGATGATAATTCCATGAAACTGGCACTTCTGCTGATTGCTAAAGGCATTGTAAGCTGGTATAACACTTTTGGAAAGAAATTTGGCAATAACCTCAAGATACAAAAAATATTCATGCCCTTTACTTCTATTTCTGGGAAGCTATCCTAAGAAAATAATTCAGGATATGGAAAAGCTATAGATTATTTATAACATCCTAGACACTTGGCATGTGAGACTTAACATTTGAGGTTTTGACACTGGTAGTTTTAACAGCTTGTGAGAGAACCACAGGTTGATCCACAGCATATGTGCAGTTACTATGTGAGGGAGGAAGTCACAAAACTAACTATAAGTTAGCTTGACTGCCAGCATCTGCTTCTCACTGTGGCCTGGTTGCTCTCTACTAGTCTTCACATACATAAAAGTAGTTCTACTGCAAGGGAAAAAAGAAAAAACATCTGTGCAAAAAAATCAGTCTTTCAAATTAAAAGGCCAAAAAAAAAGCAGCAAGCCAATTACTTGGCTAGGGATGAAAGTGAAGAGATTTAAGAAAGGACTGATATTTGTGGGTTTAGAATCAACCTGTCATTTTTCTTTTCAATTCCACAGATCTATTGTAGTGAAAGATTACAAATATGGCTAAACAGAAATAGTATATTCAACAGCAATCTATCTAAGCAGTGGTTGAATACCAGTAGTGGAATTATAGATGATAATTCATTTTACATTTTCATTTTATTAATATTACATCCACAAATGAAAAAGTTCAGATAAAAAGGTACTACTAAATGGAAGAGGGAACAGTTCCCATTTTACTTCATGAGGTCAGCATTATCCTGATAGCAAGGACTTTTCAAGACAACTACAGACCAAAAGTTCTCATTAACATGGGCAAAAATTTGTATTCATGAATTCTGCATGCATGGATTCAACCAACTCTGGATCAAAAATATTTTCTTTAAAACACTGTGTCTGTATTAAACATGAACAGACTTTGTTTCTTGTCATTATTCCTTAAACAAAACAGTAAGACAACTATTACAGAGCATTTACATTGTATTAGGTATTATAAGTAATCTGAAGGTTAAAGTGTGCACGAGGATTTACGTAGGTTACTTGCAAATAACAGAACATTTTATTCTATAAGAGACTTCAGCATCTGTAGATATGGGTATTAATGGTGGATCCTGGAACCAATTCCCCAAGGATACTGAGGGAACAACTGAATGTAAACAGCAGAAATCTGCAAAAATGATATCAGTTGCAAAAGCACATGATGACTTGCCCCAAGACTATTGGAAAAAAATATAATGTGAGTGCTATAGAACAATTCCAGTTTATCCTAGCTTTGACATTATTTTAATTAGCATTATTCTAGTGTTGTACTACTCTACTACACCATATTTCTTTTTTTACATAAAAAATTGTGATAAAAGACTATATATATATATATATATAATACATGTTATATGTTAGTGAAACCTCATGAATAGGATAGGAGGGATTATGGGAGAAAGACCACTTGAGAATTACATATTTTGAAAAGATGTATATGAAGTAATTTCAGATCACATTGTAACTAGATTCAAGTTTCTATATTCTAAGAGTACAAGAGTCAGGCCTAGGAAAAGTCTACTTTCATTAATGGGTAGTAATAATTTATAGTTAATAGATCAAAGAAACTAATTAAGAGTATGTTTGTAAGACTCTAAAATGCTAGTCCTGAAGTAATAAATGCCACATTAATTTCCTCACCAAAACAGTTCTGAAAAATAAGATTTCTAAACTTGTATTTCCAAAGAAGAGTTGGGTTCTTTACCTTTGTATCTAAAATGCAGTCAAAACCCTAAATAAAGAAAAACCAGAACACATTTAGTATCTAATTCTTACCTGGAACCCACTTAATCTCCATTTCCATATCATTTTCTTTGCCTTTCTTTTCTTTTTCTTGAATAACTTGTAAGAGCTGTCTATATTTAGCAATTTGTTCTTCATCATCCTTCTGAGTTTTCTTCTGAGTTTTTCCATCTTCCACATTGACTCCATCATCACCTAACAGAAAAATCAATATAATTTAATACACAGAAACAATTCATTTCTAATTCCAGTGTTTAGATCTCACAGTTACTCCAGCAATTTTCTAAAACAATGTTATCAGACATACACAGAATATATATTTTAGGGTTTTTTTTTTATCTTTTTAGTTGTAGATGGACACAATATCTTCATTTTTATTTATTTATATTTATGTGGTGCTGAGGATTGAACTCAGTGTTTCACACATGATAGGCAAGCGCTCTACTACTGAGCTACAATCCCAGCCCCGAAAGCACAGAATATTGAAAAAGGACTTCAACTTCTGACAAGCAAATGAATTAAATGAAAGACTTAGGTCTTATGTATAATAAAACTCAGCTGCAATATAAGGTAGCAGTGTTATAGTACTTTACATGGGAACTGCCCTTTTTTATCATATTTTAAAATAATTCTCTAATTATACAACACCCTTAGACTTCTCTTCCTTTTAAGCTGCAAGTTAATAAGAACTACAGACAGCGGACTTTCTGTGCCTTGCCATCCAGTACCTTAAAAAATATTCTAATCAAATGTTCTGAATATTTTGGAGTGAATTTGGTAGATGGATTTAGCTTCTTAGGCTGAAGAAAAGAGATAAAAGAAGTTATAAAATCCAAACCTAAGAACACTAATTTCTTTCCATTTGACTATAAGCAATCACACTTACTCTAAGGATCTTGTTAATTTAATTTACTAATGATGAAAACAAATAAATTAGGAGTTAATTCAATTAATTTCACTGTGTGGAAAAACATTCACAATTCCATTTCCTACTTTCATAAAAATAATTCGAATACAAAGAAACAGTATAAAATTCATGGGCAACAAATATCAAAGAAAACTAATACGTGAAGTTTGTTTGTTCTACATTTCCACTGTAATTCTCCAAGTCAAAAACATAAATTAAGAACTTGGGTTTTAATGCAAAACATACAGACACACTGAATTGACTAAATGTCCCTAGTAGAGGAAAATTTAGAAGCAGAATAATGAAATCCCTTCCTTTTAAAAGCTTACTGTTCACCAAAAACGTTTGACATTACTAAGTAGATACCTGTGAAACATCAGTGTGAGTATTCTCCTTATGTATTAAAAAGAAAAGTGATAAGGAAAAATTGAATAATTTTATATGTGAGTGTGTGTGTGTGTGTGTGTGTGTGTGTGTGTGTGTATTTTTCCCTTCCCTCTAAAAGAATAAAAAAATGGCAAAATGGACATTCTTTCCATCCTATCACACATTTTCACTCGAACAGCTGAAGTTCATTTTTTTCCTGTTTGTGCCACAATAATAATGTTGGATGGAATTCTGTCATGAATCCTGTAATTCAATGGATAAAACATCAGGAACACATTAACAAAATGGCAATGTATTTCTTTCTATTAAAAGCTTACTTCTGAAAACATAATTAGAAGCAACCTCCTTCCAGGTTGAAATTTTAGTGGTAAGACTCTGATGGCTTACTTTAAATTGATTTTTTCCAGCTCTAAAATGTGGAATAACTCATGTAGGTCTGGTTTTCCCCCCAATTCAAGGACAATACTTTGTGAAAGTCTTAGTACTCTATAAGTAGTTTTTTAAAAAAATTTAAGAGTAAACTACTCTCATAAACAATAATCAGGAGCATCTAGTAACTCGAAAGCATTCAAGTATACTAATGTAGCTATCAGAGGAAATAAATTAAAGATAAAAGTAATTTTACTCTCAGTTGAAATACTGACGAAAAAGGCACACCTTAAAAAAATTTAATAAGTAGTATATTTCAAATGAACAGGTATTAATCAAAACTTTAAAGTTTTAAGAAATAAAAATATATAAGGCAAGGTAGTATACTGATTAATTTATGTACATTATTTCAATCTTTCCAACCATGATCCCGGTATTATTATGATCTTTCTTTCATAGATACAGAAAGAAAGAAGTAGGGAAGACAGTTAGAAAACTTAATCTACGTTATTTCACTATGTGGTGAAGTCAGGATTTGAAACCCATAAAACCCAAGTTCTTAACGAGAATGTACTGACAAATTAATCTTTATTTATTCATAATATTATGTATCCTAATGTCAATCATGCCATTTAAAAATTTAATTCAGTTTTCCCATACCAAAGAAACCTACTTGAAAAACTTGGATCCAAACTTCACAAATATTCATGGAATATTATCTTTTCCCTGTATTTTAGAGCTGAGATAAGAAAAACTATCCAGAATTTTCAGAAAAGTGCTAAATGTCTAAAAGACATACAAATAAAAAGAAAACATAAATAAATATATGTCTCTCCACATTTATCAGGGAAAAGGACATAAAGGTTATTTGTAAAAAGCACAGCACCAAGAAATAAAATGTTCACTTAGTTCTTCAGAATGCCAAAAAAATAAATAAGCAACAGCCACCGAGGCCTTAAAAATATGTGAAGTCTTTTGTGCCCAACATAACTACCATTGCAAATTATATATTTTCAAAGACTATTAAATACTTAAGCAATTATGTGGTTTTATTACATGATGTCTCAACAAATAAACTAGAATGATTAAACATGATTTTTCCATTCCATGTATGGAATACTATTCAAGACTAGTATTTTATGAAAAACTTTTAAAAATGAAGCATTATATTCAAAAGTCTAAAAGAAATAGTAATAGACCAATCACAGGATCTAAGAAAGTCAAGGCTTAATGGCCCCATGTTAAAACTAAAGAAGCATTTTTGCATTTATTTATCAATAGTCTATAAAAATAATATATTTTGCAAAAGGAAAACCAAAAAGCAAACTATAAATTATTAAGTTAAAAGATACTAATTTTTGCTAATTTAAAATACTTATCTACATGTTTAACATTTATGGTTCTTCACTTTATATCAGTGATAATCCTCTCACTCATAATTTTTCATAGTTGGGAATTCTTCTATTAGATAAAAAGAATGAATATGTGAAGGGATCTGGCATATGTTATCAAGCAAAAAATGACATGAAATTATAACCAAGCAATCAAATTTTCAAGACAGATCTAATACAGGAAACATTTATTTGGGGCTTTGGTTATTTAAAGCATACAGCATTTACGATTTAAAAGTAACCATTAACCATATCAATCATCAAAAGAAAAATCTTAAATGAATCAAAATAATCTGAGAATTTTTCTGTTTCTATAAGGCAAAGTAGGTAACTGAGATCAATCCTTTCACTGAAAACATAAAGTTGGATGAAATATTTTAAAAATCTTTTAAAAAGCTCTAGAAACTTAAAAAAGAAAGAAATGTTTCAAGCAACTGATAAGTTAGTGAGAATTACCACGTCAAAATTAAGAAAGGAACACTGGAGAGATGATCTCAGTGTTAAAGACTCAGTTTACTCTGAAAGCATTTCCTACTTTTTGATCCATAGAAGCCTTAAAACTTGGAGAAATGTGGTCGTAGACTGAAAAAAGTAAATGAAAGTTCACTCTCTTAAGAAAGATAACCTCATATCAGATATTAAACCAGCACACAAAGATAACAAGGCCCAAGTAAATAAAGATAAACATCTTGTTAAAAAAATAGTAGCCAATGTAAAATATATGAAATATTGAAACTGTCAGACTATAAAAACATGCTTACTACTTATAGAAATAAAAGAATATGTTAAAGCTATCTGCAGTGAGTATAAAACTTATAAAAATGATGTTGTTGACAGGAAAAATAAGGGAAAAGGACTTCCAGAAGTTGAAATATATAATAACAAAAATTAAGAACTCAATGGATAGATCTATTAGCAGATTCAACACTGCTGAAAAGACAAGCAGTAAATTGGTTAAAAAAAAAAAATCCAAAATGCAATGGAAACAATGGATAAAAAATTTATTTATTTTTATGTGGTGCTGAGTATGGAACCCAGTGCCTTACACATGCAAACACTCTAGCACTGAGCTGCAACCCCAGCCCTCAAAATTTACTAGATAGAGAAGACACAGTGAAAAGCTCTAACACATATTTAACAGTACCAAAAGGGTAAGAGAAAAATCACCTGAAAACACAATGGCTGAGAATTTTACAATACTGATGAAAGATACCCAATCATAGATTTAAGAAACCCTACAAACCCCAACTTCAATAAACAAAAATTAGTCAGCTTTAAGAAACATCATAGTGAAACTGGAGAAATAAATAAATAAAAATTAAAAGCGACTAGACAAACTTTTAAAAAGTCTAAAAAGGTAGCTGATTTCTAAAGACAAGTCAGAAGATAACAGAATGAAGTTATAAATATGGCAGTGGAAAGGAATGCCAACTTGGAATTCTTTATAAATGAAAGCAAAATAAAGCTGTTTTGAAAGACAAACTAACCTCAACAGTTTGACACCAGCACACACTACAGGAAATTCTGAAGGCATATTCAAGAAGAATGAAAATGATCCCAGATTCAGAAAGAAAAAAAAGAGCACAGGAAGAGGTGAAACTTAAAGGTAGTACAAAATGGCAATATTACAACCTGTGGTATTTAAAAATAAGTAGCATTACAACACTTGATGATAATATGAAACTTGTTTAAAGATTACTACATTATTCAGGAAGGCTGGGATTGTGGATCAGTGATGAGCTCTTGCCTAGCATGTGAGGCACTGGGTTCGATTTTCAACACTATGTATAAATAAATTAATAAAAACAAAGGTTTAAAGAAATATTGCCTTTATTTATTTATTTGTTTTTTTCAGTACTAGGGATTAAACCCAGGATGCTCTACTACTGAGCTACATCTCAAGTCCTCTTAATTTTTTCTTGTTTTGAGTCAAAGTTTCATTGAGTCACTGAGGCTGGCCTGGAACTTGCAATCCTAGTCAGCCTCTCAAGTTGCTCAGAGTACAGTTGTGCACCACCATGCCTGGCTTATTTTTGCTTTCAGACTTCAATAAGTTAAGGCTGCAAGTCTTAATTTCAGAAGTGAATGTTCTAAACTTATTGAAAAAAATGTTATGTAAAATATATTCAATTAATCCCCAATCTCTTTGTTTAAAAAGGAGGATTAACATAGCATTTTACAAGTTCATTGAGAGATTATATAAATATACAAATCGCAACAAGTATAAAAGGCCAGGTCTCTTTTTAAGTCTAGGGTTTTAAATAAAATGCTTATGGCTAAAGAAATTCAGGCTAAAAAAACACTTAAAAAATTTTTTTTCAAAAACTATCTAAAGACGTATCTAATACTATGAATATGAATATGCTCTGCAGATGGCTTAAGAATTAAGACTCTCCCCTTTAAATTACTGCTAAGGATATATTTCCATGACAGTTAATAAAAGATCAGCAAGTACCTTGTATCTCCTCCTCTAACTCATCCTCATCTTCACTAGAGGAAGCTAAATAGGCTTGAAAATCCATGTCCAAAAGCTCTTCCTTTTTAAATTTTCTGTTGAGTGTTGTGATCCTTTCATGATCAGTCTCATCCCAAGTTATCTCCACCTTTACCAATGAAAACAAAATAAACAAATATGGAAATGTCAACAACTCACACTTGTTAAAGAATAAGAATACTGTTATTTTGGATGTTTAACAGTTGTAAGTTAAACAAGTAAAGATATGCTAAAAAAAATATATGAATGACATGATTAATAAACAGTGTTCTACCTGTGGCAAGGGAATTAGTGTTAATGAACTTATATCATTTCTTTCCTATTTCTCTGCTACAGGCAGGATACTCCATTATTTGAAGTAAAAATCAATGTTGCACAGTAAGTTTGATGGAGAAAACCAAAAGCTGAATGTTTTCCCTGATAAGCATATGTGGATCCATAGTGGGGGTGGGACATAGGGGGTGAGATAGGGATAAATGATGGAACTTTGGTTTGTGCAGAGGGGGTGGAAGAGGGGTGGGGCTGTGGGGATGGGAAGGAGAGTAGAATGAAACAAGACATTATTACCCTATATACATGTATAATTACACCACTGGAGTGACTCTGCACCACGTATAGCCAGAGCAATGAGAAGTTGTGCTCAACTTGTATACAATGTCAAAATGCATTCTACTGTCATGTATAACTAGTTAGAACAAATAAAATTTTTTAAAAAAAGATTTAGAATTATCCCTACTCTGATATTAAGTCTATTGCTGGAACTAAGATAAATGGTAATGATACAGTAAGGACTAAAAAAAAAAATCAAGACTTGATGGCTAGCTAAGGCCACTATTTCATTTTGAAAATAACATGACCTTACATTTTATGTGAATGAATTTTTCAGACTTTACTTTCCACACTATAGTAGGGTTTTACTATACTCAGTAACTAAATCAATACCATATAGTTCCCACTGCAGGTGGCAGATATAGATCTCCTTCTGCCACTAGCCCCTTCTTGGAGAGTACAGGAAAGGCAAAGGAAAGCCAGTGTGGCTGCTACAAAGTATAGCTGTGGGTAGAGGTTTAGAGTAAGGAACAGAAGAAATCAGTCCACTAAGCAACAAATTATTTCAACACACAGAAATCCTTTGGCTGTTTCTTATTAAGTATTAATGTGACAACTAATAGTCCTAAATTATTCTGCTTCTGTTTTTTTTGTTTTGTTTTGTTTTAAATTTTCAATTATGCTAGGTGCAGTGGCACCTGCCTATACTCCCAGTTACTCTGGAGGCTAGGCAGAAGGACTCCAAGTTTAAGACCAGCCAGCACAATGTAGCATGACTCTATCTCAAAGTAATATTTTAAAAGGCTTGATGGTACAGTCTTTGGCTAGCATGTATGAAGCCCTGGGTTTAATCTCCAGTACTGGGGGGTGAAAAGGGGTAGTTTGACAATATCAGCAGAAAACATGCTCCTGTTGTAGACTTTCACTAGCTTTGCTTAACTGTCATTTGAGGAAATTTGTTACTTTCTTTCTCCTATTCACTAGGCTATTAATAGCTAATATATTACTTATTAAAAAATTTAGCTGTTTGGGGGAGTATTTTTAAGTGGTGCTAGAGATTAAACCCAGGGCCATGCTAGGCAAGTGCTCTACCACTGAGCTATATTCCAATCCCAAAGAAACTGTTTGACTAAGAGTGTGGGAAAGACAGAAGTAAAGAAATATTAGCAGGTGATTGACTCAGGCCTAAAGGTATAACTAGAATCCGAAAACAGGTTCAAACAGATGTAGTAGATAATATAAGCCTACTTATGTCTCATTTCTATTTGTACTTGAGCATTGAAACGTTGATACTTTCCATTTTTAAAGATGCTGTAAGTAAATAATACACAAATCTCTTCTTAAAATCTAAGAAATACCGTTGATGTTCCCATTGCAGCAGATGTGAAATACTTTGGTTTATATGCTGTTAAATCCACTTCTGAGGCTACATCCTTAGGCTCATCATCAAAAGTAATATCATCTGGTATAAACCTAAGAAGCAAAAATAAATAAATAAATTTATTTAAACATATGTTTCAGTGATTAACAAGCAGCATTTAGATTCTCAACTAATTAGTTGTAGTTTATACATATAAACAATATTAAAGTTTCTATAGAACACCCATGCAGAAAAGGCAAACAGTGTTAAAAATAACATAGGTATAAAATTTCTAAAATTCATAAATGAGTGAATACTTATATAGATAGAAACCTTATATTTAGGAGCCAGTTAATACAAGTGCAAACACACATGGATCGATCATGTTTCACAAAGACGAGACTACTAATAGCAGTCAGTAGCTTGCTTTATGATACTCTTGAAGATCAAACAGAATTATTAATGGTAAATGTTCATGCCCATTAGGTATCACTAAAACTAAGGAAATGTTTAAGGTTGATTGAAGACCAAAAGCCTTAACAAAATTATACTACAATTTCATTTCACAAATAAGCAGCTTTTAAAAGTAAATTAGCTGGTGTAATTTGACAATTTTTAGGCTTAGGCTAAGGAATGGGGAAAAAATGTACAGAGCTAAGAAATCCATTATATTTAGGTTTCACAATTTATATAGGTGAGTGTTTACACATACATATAAAAAGCATGTGCTATACATTTTATTAAAAATTATTTGGGGGGTAAACGGATAATTAAGATTTATTAGGTTTATATAATAAAGTGTACCTTTCTTGACAAACACTTTAGTATGTAATGCCATTCATTTACTGAAACAGCATTTACACCAGTTCTGTCCAACAGAATATTTCTGTGAAGATGGCAGATGGTATCTGTTCTGTCCAAAATTAGTCCAGTTGCCTGAGCAAGTTTAATTTTAAATTTTTATATTAAACAAATTAAAATAACCAGATTTGACTAATGGCTACTATATTGGACAGTGCAGATCTAGAGATAACAGTCTATTAGCAAGTTCCTTTGCTCCTTCTTAAATGCTTTTTTTTTTTAGGTACTTCATCTGCTCCCAAGCTCTAAAAGAGTTGCAAAGATATACCATCACACAAATACACCATCTTAAAACAGACACTTAATGTGTTTAAAAGCGCATAAATGTGGGAATGATTTCACTTTCTTCGGGGTGAGGTTCTATATGACAATTCAACTACAAAAAGCAAATAATTCTTCTAGAACAAAAAACAACAAAAAGTACCACCAGCTCAAGTATTTTACTTCTTATAATCATGCTGTGCTGTAAGATGTAGTTGGTATGACACACACTGAATTACCTTAGATCTATGAAAGAACAGCTACTTTCAAATTCCAGGCCATCACAATCCTCATAAATTTTACTTGCAGTTTCAGGAGAATCACAATCTACTACTGCATAATAGTACTTCAGTCGTTTGAACTGATAATCCCTTAATTTTTCTCTAGAGGTCCTAAAGGGAGAAAAAAAAAAATCATTAAACTTACTTATATAGAAACACAGAAATCTATCTGCCTTTAAAAAATAAAAATAACTATTTTAAGAAAAATATACTACAGGTTGGGTGATGGCTCAGTGGTAGAGTGCTTGCCTCGCACGTATAAGGCCCTGGGTTTGATCCTCAGCACCACATATAAAATAATTAAAATAAAGATATTGTGTCCAACTACAACTAAAATAAATATTTAAAAAAAAGAAAAATAATTACAAGCTAGCCTTCAATCAAGTCATCTCTCCTTTATAACTTCTCCTTTATGAACATTAAATATTTAAGCTCAATTTAAAAATTTATTATCTAGAAAAGGAGTGTGGAAATTACATATACTTATCAACAATCTTAATTTTATTTCTAGAATACATATTTTGTTCATTCTGCTACAATACACACTCTTTTCAAATAAATCCACTGGACCAAACTACCACATTATAAAATATGCTTGGAAAGCATTAGCTCTATTACAAAGAAATTCCTGATCTTGCAAAATGTTTGCTCCAGATTCATCTGTCTTCAAGTCTAAATAGCTTTAAGTTTAATTTCACATAATAGCATATTCTTTGAAGGTTTTCATATGCCTCTCTTCCCACCAATCTATTTAATCACCATTTTAATTAAGTGTACATATAGCTCCACCTAGTGACTTTTTAAAGTTATCTTAATTTTTTTCTATAGTACCCACTGTGTACTTTTAAATTTTTCTATTTAATCTCAAGTAAGAAAACCTCTTAAAAAAATATTTATTTAATATTATTATTTTTTAGTTGTACACAATATCTTTATTTTATTTATTTATATTTTATGTGGTGCTGAGGATGGAACCCAGGGCCTCGCACATGCTAGGCGGGCACTCTACCACTGAGCCACAATCCCAGCCCCTCAAGTAAAAAAACCTAAATAATTTAAAGGTAAATAGTTTCAGTACAACTTACATAGAAAGTAACATCTCAGAAAAAACGCAAAACTTACTAATTCAGAGTCATGAGGGTGGGAAAAGTTTTAACTCAGTTTAATCATGAAATGTTTTTCAAGAATTGCAATATTTCACTGGGCTAAGTGGCACTCTCCTGTAATCCCAACCACCTGGGAGGCTGAGGCAGGAGAACTGTGAGTTCAAAGTTAGCCTCAGCAACAGCGAGGCACTAAGCAACTCAGTGAAACCCTGGGTCTAAATAAAAGACAAACTATGGCTGGGATGTGGCTCAGTGGCCGAGTGCCTCTGAGTTTAATCCTGATACCACCCCCCCAAAAAAAAGAATTGCAATATTTCCAAGAATATATAAATATATGCACAAAATGTTGTTTGAATAGTGTGCCACTTCTGACAGATTATAATCTGTTTTATAAGACTTGTTTGAATCATATATGGTTCAAATGTAAACTTTAGTCCTGTGAAAGTAACCAGAATTTTAAAATAATGACATGAATTTATAAGGCTTATGTTCTATAGCAACTTAGTACCAGTCTTTTTCAGGGGCATCTTCAGGAATACTTAGTAACTCTACTGGTCCTTGAACTTGTTCTTCTTTCATCCTTTCTTTTCCAAACTCTGAAGGATATATCTAAACACAAAAAATAAGATAGATGTAATTTATACATTCATTCCCATACAATATGTAGACTCATCAAGGTCAAGAACTTTCAGAGTCACAACTTTACTCAATGAAAATAGCAATTCACTTTCAAACTCATTACAGGAAAGTAAAGCATCCCAAGGACTTTCCTTTAAATAAATCACCTTGGCTAAAAATGTAACAGATCTGGGACTTGAACAAAAATTAAAAAAAAAAAAAAAAATAGTATTTCTTCCACACACCACCTTGAGCAAGATGACTCTAGGATCCAACAGAAAAATTAAGAAATGCAAAATAAGGTTCTAAGCTCAAGGAATTCTGAATAAAACATAAGAAAATGGACTGGTTAAACGGTTTAAATAAAATAGAAAGACATAAAACATAATAAAATCAACTTTATAATATCCAACTTACTTCTGTCATACTGTTTATCCAATGCGTTCTTTTAAAAAAAATTATTCAAGGGCTGGGACTGTCACTCAGTGGTAGAGCACTTGCCTAGCATGCGTGAAGCACTGGGTTTGATCCTCAGCACCACATAAAAATAAACAAATAAAATAAAGGCATTCTGTCTACCTACAACTACAAAAAATAAAAATAAAAAAATAAAAAACCTTTCAAATACTAAAGAAAAGAACTGCTGACACTCTTACCATATAAATTAAATATAGTTTGGGTATAAGAAAAAGAATTTACTCTCACTGGTATTTTTTTTTAATCTTGGCTACTTTCAGAGTCAAGAAATATAATTATATTAATTTACATTGTTTGATATTGCCGAGCTTAATATACATTTGTTACCTAATGTTTCCTAAGCTGTCTGAAATACACAATTTACCAACAAGATAATTTGAATTTTTCTTACTACTTTGAGTTTTACATAGTAATTGACCTAGAATGCATATATGTAGTTACATCTGATTTTTTTTTCTTTTGTAGATCTAAAAACTCCTATTTACCCATCTCCTAGAACCCAAGAATTCACAAAATATAATTCTTTTTTGTCTTGTTTCTTTGGTTTGATTTTTAATTTTTTCCTATTTGCTTAATGCTGGAGTTTAGCTTGGGTTATTTTAAGGTAAAGATATGAACTAAGTTTTTTATCCAATGACTTGTCCATTTATCTCAACAACAGGTATTCAAGCAGAATGACAATCTCAGCCCCATTCTTGTTTATTCTTTTGGATAACTATTGGCATCCTTTTCTTAACTTGAACTGAGATTTTGATTCAAACTACAATAAAACTATAGAAGTGACATTTAAAAATATTTAAATAAGAGATAGACACATTGGCATACACCTATAATTCTAGCAACTCTGGAGGCTAGGTAGGAGGACTGCAAGTTCAAAGCCAGCCTTAGCAACTTAGTGAGGTCCTATGCAATTTAGGGAGACTTTTAAAAATAAAAAATAAATAAATGTTACAGTAGATGGGGTAGAGAGAGGTGATGGGAGGGGAAGGGAGAGGAGGGGAGGATAGGAAGGGTAGCAGAATACAACAGACACTAGTATGGTTGTATGTATAAACGTGGCTGTATAACCAATGTGATCCTGCAATCTGTACACGTGGAAAAATAAGAATTCATACCCCATTTGAATCAAATGTATGATATGTCAAGATCATTGTAATGTTTTGAGCAATAAAAAAATAAATAAATGTGAACTACTTCAGAAACTGTATTAAAGACTTAAGTGTGAGCTCCTAATCCTTATAACCACCACAGAAAGTACTATTGTTATATCCATTTGCTAAATGAATAGAGCATTAAGTACCCAAGATCACATAGAATTTATGAGAATGAACCTTTGACATAGGTCTATCATGAAGCAAAGTCTGGATACTTAATCATTACACTGGCTTACCACATTTATCATGTTTTAGCTTACTTCATATAGGTCTTAAAATACTTATTAAGGTAATTCCCAAAAACTTTACCTTTGTTGCCAATGCAATTTGAATTTCTTCCCTTAATTGGTTAATGCCAGTAATGAGGAATGCAAATTATTTCTTAATATTTATCTTATACCATACTGCTTTACCAAACCTGAATTTATTTGGGCTTTTAAAGTGTACACAATCATATAATCCATCAAGAAAATTTTACCTCTTCCTAACACTTACAACCTGTTTACATTAGTTTCATGCCCAGTTGTAATGGACAATTTCCAGATAAATTATTTTCTATAAAAGAAAAAAACAGCCACAACATTTTAAGTCACTGGAGGAAAAAAAAAAAAAAGTCAAATCTAACTTTAAATATCTAGAACTTTTACTTTAAAATGAAATTAATTCTCACCTTTACAGAAAATATAACACCTCCTTTGGGTTTAAAAGAATTAAACAGAGCCAGCAAATCTTTTGCCTTTAATCTATCCCAGTCCATGTTGCAAACCGCTAACCGATGTGTAATCTGAGAAAGGAAAAGAATTAAGTATTGTATAATTTATATTATTTTTAATGATTGAAAAATAAAAATTCAAAAGTATACTTTCTTTTCCGCAAGTTATGAAATTATCAGTAGTTATCTAAGCTGTTTCAACATGTAAAAGAGAACTTCCAGAGAGTTAAACAATAGTAAAACCTAAAAAGAAAAAAACCTACTTACTTGCTTCTCAGTTCTTAAATTAGAACATGGACATGAAATGATTTTTTTTTAAACTCTAAATTTGTCAAACTATCTGTCACCCATGCATGGGAGGGGCCTTATGTGACCCCATAACATTTCCCTAAGGTGCAGTAGGTACAGAAGGTAAATTACTAACTAAAACAAGTATTTTGTAAAAATTTCAAGTGAATTTTAATTAGTTATGTAGAATTTTTTCTTTATCTGCTTGGACAGACATTTTCTAATTTATATAAACATATTCCATATCAAGAAGTTTAAATCAGAATCATGAAAAATATTACTATGTGGTTAGGGGAGGGGGGCAAGGGTGGCTTAGTGGTAGAGCACTTGTCTGGGTATGACTCCCAGCATGACAAAATACAAACAAAAAAAACCAAAAACTCCAAAACACACAAAGAATACTATTACCAAAAAAGGTTTTTTAACTTATTTTATTTTTTGTGATGTCGGGGATCAAACCCAGAGTTTCATGCATGTTAGGCAAGTGTTCTACTACTGAGGTACACTGACGGTTTCCTTTCCATTTAATTTCATGATATTGATTTTACTATTCATATAAGATAATTATAACAAGTTATTCATAAATAATCTTATTTAAAATGTTACCTCATCAGCCCGAGGAGCATCTTTATCTAATTCTCTCCAAGCATGCTCAAAACCAGGCTCTTCTGGAAATAAATCTGCCAAATCATCATCATCTTCAGAACTAGTTTCTACATTTCCTTTACCCCTTGCAAGATCAGGGCCACTGTCACTTTCAGTATCCTCTTCACTATCTTCATCTTCCTTTTGATCATCTTCATTTCCATTATCATCAGCTGAAGAGCCACTACCACCTGTGATTTCATCTTCAGATTCCTCATCACTTCCTATTTCACTAACACTGTCTGAATCTTCCTCCAGAGTGTCTTTGTCAAACATTTTACCATTCGTGTCACTTGCCACTATGAATGGAACTGTTGCAAAATGTTAAGGGAGGAGAAAAGTACACAGTGAATTAAATTGAATCCAAGATATTGTGACATTTTATACAGTAAAAAAAAAACTTCTATGAAAAAATTCAGCGTTACTTAAGTTATTTAATAGAAATTTTAAAATATATCCAGCTCATGCAAATAGACTTTGATATTTATGGCGGGCCTATCTTAGACAATCACTGGCAAAAATGAAGTAATTAATGTCCTCACTGTACTTTGAATGAAGAAGATCAATAAACAGGTATCAAATAAAACCAATCAAACCTATATACACAACAAAAGAAATTATAACTTGGATAAATTCTAAAAAGGAAAGTTATATCATGCTTTCTGAAAACATATAATACTGGTTTCTAAATGATATAATTAAGCTACTATCTGAAAAATAAATAATCAAATTAGATTAATAGATAAAGGAATTTTGTTATAAACAGCAAAGAAAGCATCTAAAGATCTGCCAGTTGGAAAAAGTCAATAATCCTGTCTGGATTGTGGATAGCAATCACTTAAGAAACAGATAGAACTAAAGATTCACATAGGAGTCATAATATCCAAAAACCATGCAGATCAGGTTGGATGGACTTTTTCTTAAAATAAATGGGAAACCATTGCTATGTTTTCAAAAGGACACTGTCAGATTTGCAAATTGAAGTCACCTTGACTGTTAATGTGGAAAACTGGCTGGAGAGAGTAAAAAGTAGATGTGAATGGAGCTTTCTGAAGGACAGTAGAATACTCTAGACAAGAAATGAAGATAGCATTAGATTGGTGGCAGTAGAATTGTACAGAAGTGAAGACTTCCGAGTCTTTAAGGAGGTAAAAGTAATGATCAGTGACAGGGGTTTTTGATACAAGGAACATAAGTTTCAGAAGTGTCAAAGATGAGTTCTGGCTTCTTGGCTTACAGAACCAGGAAGCTAACTAGCTAGCTAGCTAGCTAGATGAATAGAAAACAATGGAAAATAATTAGTTTTTTTGGTGAAGGGAGATTATGAATTCAGTTTTGAATATATTAAATTTAAAGTGCCTTTCCAAGAGAAAACATCAATAAATAAGGCTGCTAGTTATTAAGAAATACAGCTCAGAGTTGTGAGATAAAATTGACTCATTCATATGTGGTTGACAACAGAAATTGTGATTTCGATGAGATTACCTATGAAGAGAAAAATGATAACTTTTTTGTTTTTGAACTTTGTAACTAACTGTTATTTAGAGTCACTGATTTATCAAGATATTTTGTTTAGGATTCCTTTTTAGCCCTCAGCACTAAAAAACCAGCCCGTTCAGGCTTGTTTCTTACTTCTATAAGCAATCACTACTGTGTGTGTGTGTCTCCCCATATCCTACATAATTTATTATGTTTAAGTTGATGCTTACATTTCTGCTTACTCATAGACTCAAACCTTGGAGAATTAAAAGCAAATTTAAAAGTTTAAGACTTGGGGCTGGGGCTATAGCTCATTGGTAGAGCACTTGCCTAGCATGTGTAAGGCACTGGGTTTGATCCTTAGCACCACATATAAATAAATAAAATAAAGGTATACAAAATACAACAAAAAATTTTTTTAAAAAGTTTTTTTAAAAAAAACCTGAAACTTGGTTTCTCTTAGTCCTACACTCTTAACAGTATTTATTCATTATCTACTATATACAGAGCATTGAAACAGTTGAAGGGAAATGAGATGATATGTAACATAATTCCCATCCTTGATAGTTCATAAATAAGGAAAAATTTTATTGATTTATGAATCCATGTTTTAAGCCCCAGAGACATTTAAGTTTGTCTGCAAAGAATATTTATGAAAAGAAAGACTTTGCACAGATATCATTTGACTTAAGATTAACTGAATGAAAGGCATTTTGTTAGGAGGAAAGGAAATGGGCTTTGATTTCTGGCTTCACAAAGTACACAGTAATAAAAATAACTGGCTAGCAATTTGAAAAAGAAGGTATTATCATGAGTTCTGTGTAAGGGCATCAGAAGAACATAAAAGTGAAAGTAAGATATTATGAGTTAAGCATAATTCACTTTTAAGCAATACTGAGAAATAAGATAACTAAATTAACTTTTAAAAGTTAGCTTTATTCTAAATATTCCTAATGTCACAGACGTGATGCAGTGGTTGTTTTCAAAGATGTTGAAATAATACATAATTACATATGAGCCCACAACATACAAATCTTCATTTTATTTTTATTTATTTATTGAAAAGAATTTTTTTAGTTGTTGATGGACTCTATTTTCATGTGGTACTGAGAATTGAACCCAGGACCTCATATACGCTAGGAGAATGCTCTACCACTGAGCCATAACCCAAGCCCCAAAGCTTCATTTTAGATAAAGTGGGGTTACAAAATAAGTGACTGTCCCTATTCTTCAATGATAACTGGTCTAGTAGTTATTATAAACACTACTACTTATTACCTACTTTTTAAAAAGCTGTTTTACCATTTTCTCCCTAATTATATGAATGTACACTGCAAAAAAAAATTAAGAAAATATGGCTTAATGAAGAAAATTAAGATGATAAGTAGCTTCTCATTCAGGGTTATTTTGGTATATAACCCTCAAAATTTTTCTCAAAGTAGCTGGTGATATTAAACAATCTATTTTTAAAACTTTACACATCATAGATGTTTGTATTACTATAATTTTTTAATCAATCATTTAATGATTTAGGTTAACATTTTTAATTTAAAAATAATGCTGCAATCATATTCTTTGCACACACTTCCAATTATTTACTTAAAATAAATTCTTAGGCCTACAAGTGCTGGTCATGAACATTTTATTTATTTTTGCAGTTGTAGATGGACACTATCTTTATTTATTTTTATGTGGTGCTGGGAATTGACCCCAGTGCCTCACACATTTGAGGCAGGCTCTCTACCACTCAGCTACAGCTCGAAACCCCTCGTGAACATTATATGATGACAAATATGAAACTGTAACTCCTTATATTATTTTTTTCCTTATAGACCTTGCATTTAATTCCAGATTGTGGAACCAATATAAATAACGCCAGCAACATGGTGGGGTAAAAAGAGTCAGAAGACATGAATTATAGTTCCAGTTCCATGTGTTTCTTACATAAATCACTTTAACTTGGCTTCTTGATATATCTTTCATTTCTCAAGGTTATTGATAAAATTAAATGAGAAAAGAATTTTAAGAATATTCTGTTAAAACCAGTTGAAAGGATTAAAATGATGTTATATTAATCCAGTGCCCTAAACTAACAGGAACCTCAAGGATGCTAGACTAGCTTACTTCACAAACTCAGCATCACATCAACCTTGTGATCTCAGTCCAATTTTACTCAATTTCAGTAATTAGATTCGTATCTCTTTTCTATTTTGCATGAGGTTTGCTGTCTGGTTCTGCTACAAGTGAAATGGGACCCCGTCCCAGAAACCCTCATCTCTACTATTTAGAATTCTGCCCACTGCCTAATACTTCCTACTTTCCCAATATGATTCCTGTCTCAAGACCTTCCTGTCTTATCCTAATGCCTATCCTCCTTGGATACTATAATTGTAGCCAATCTGGCTCATCGGTACCACCAATTTTCAGTTACAACATCAACTATGAGCAACATCAATATTTAAAATTTCCTGCTGTCAGAGGGAACACAAAATTTTATTAAACAGTTAACATGTAAATACAAACTAGATGCCAGGTGTTTTCTTACCTAGTTCCAAATAGTCATTTCTATATCTATTACCCTTTTACCTCTTCAAGATTTTATCTAATCACAAATGGTTCTCTTTTTCAACATGAATAATCATAACTTTGCTCAAATAGTTCTCTATATGTAGAATACTTTGATCCTCAAACTTAAATCCTTTCCAAACCTCAATCAAAACAATGCATCTTCTAGCACTTTTTATCTGATTATCACATCTTGAGCAGCCCCTTCTTATGCACTACTATAGCTCTCTGCTAAACATCTTTTATGGCACTGTTATTTTATTTTGTTCTCTGGTTCTGATTTTCTTCCACTTTAGATTTATGCTGTCCAATATAGTGGCAAGGAGCCATAAATAGCAATTTTGCACTTGAAATATGGCTCATTCAACTTGAGATTAGTGCAAAAATAGGATGTAAATGTCATTAATTTATAAAATATTGATTACAAACTAAATTTTTTATATATAACTGGTTAATATGTTATTAAAATTAACTTCATCTGCTTCTTCTCAATTTTTTAAAAATATTTTTTAGTTGTCAATGAACCTTTATTTTATTTATTTATAGGCGGTGCTGAGAATGGAACACAGTGCCTCACACATTGGCGACAAGCACTCTACCACTGAGCTACAACCTCAGCCCCTTCCTCTCACTTTTTAACATGGCTATTAAAAATTAAAAAATTATGCACTTCTGTTGGATAGTGCTACTTTAGACTAGGACCACTTCACAGAGTTTAGAGGGCTGTTATCTGCACATGGGCATCTACAAAGGAGAAAGGGCTGAAATCAAAGCCATCTTTACTCATCAAACCATGTATCCTGCAGAGCGGCTTAGTTCAGGGGAAAACAACCTGTTACTTCTCTCAAAAGTGTTATCCCCCACCAAACTGTGAGCTCTGCAGAGCTATGTGTTCAGAGTATACCTTTTTCTAATTTGCTCGAAGGCATCAAATAAGCTAGCAAAAGCCTTAAGATGGGGAACCATACCCCATGTTCTAGCTACCACAAATTAGTCACAAATATTTAAAGTAATTAATTAATACATGAATATACAATTCTCCTTACCTTCAGACACATCTCTTCTTATGAAGTGATTACATATTAACACTTTATCTGGTTAGCACATATAGCCTTTACTAATGCCCAACACAAATCAAAATCATTAAGAATGGAATTCTACATCTGCCTTCTAGCACTAAATAAAAAATAAATCTTGTTATTTTTTCTTTCATAGTTTTAGATTTACATATAAGCATTTAAACATTCCCAACTTATCATAACTGTTTACTGTTTTAAAAGATCAATATAAAAATAAACATGATTAACATCAAAGAATCCCTAATTCTTTCCAACCAACCTGATTGTTTTTCTCTTTTTGTCTTCGGACAAATGATTTTGGTAGATTTCCCAATTTCAGAGGTGCTTGAGCCTACTGTCCTTAGTTTTCCTTTGGGAAAAGAGTCTGCACTAAACTCAATGTTTTTTTTCACTTGTGTACTTTTATGTGTAAATTCTTCACTATCTTTTTTGGGACTTATTTCTAAATCTGTCTTCTTAAATCTACATATGTTTTTCTTTTGCTGAATTCTTTCAGAATTATCTACATTATTTTTATTTTCAGAATCCTTTTGACTAACTTTTTCAGTTTCTTTTTTTTTCTTCTCAGTCAAATTTTTGGACTTTATTTCATTTTTGGTCTGGGTTTTTTTCTTCATTTTCTTTTGGTTCAGTGCTTTGTTATCTTCATCAGAGAGGTCGGAATCAGAATCTGAAAGGTCATAGAAACGTTTCAAGTCCTCTGTAGTACTATGGTTGATGGGGCGCCCTCTTTTATCAACAGCATAGTTCAATTTAAACTTTTTGTCATGAAACATGGCTCGAAATCTCTTGTCAATTTTGACTTTTCGATCCTTTTCTGGCATTTCCCAAAATCTGGGATCCTTTGAAACTCGTCTAAACCGCTGGTCACTCATTATTTCTTGTTTGGATGACATTTTAAAATCTCTCACTGAACAAATGTTTGAAGAAACCAAATACTAAAAAACAAATAAAACACGTTACATACATCAATGAAATGTAAATAATATTTAGATATTACTTAATATCAAATCAATATCAAATACTTATTTAATATTAAATATTAGTTTAATATTAAGTATCAAATAATATTTAAATACTTAATATAAATGTTTTTAAAACATTAATTCATAACATATTCTAAGTTAAAGGTACATAAAATAAAAGTAAAAAGTCTTATTTAATCTCTCCAAATTATTCGGGGTCATGCAAGAAAATCAAAAACATAAAAATATCCTCTTAGCTATTACAAATCATTCGAAGAAACAAATTTAAGGAAAACCAAGCAGAATCTCAAGGTTTTATGGAAGAGGGCAAATGTTTATTAGCCCATTACACTCACTTAGAATTTCCATATTTTTAGCTGTATACCTATATGTATTATAATTATAGGCTGAAAGCTGACGTAATGAAGATTCCCCAGCTTTAATTGGTCTCACTTGTTTCTTCAAACGGTCCCATTTTCTCTATTATTCTTTACCTCCTGCTACTCCCAACAGCATTTAGTACTACAAGGTTAGCTTCGCAACTAACCAGACCAATCAAATCAGGTTAGCTTACAAAGTTCCCTCTTTAAATTCAACCATCCTCCAAGTACCACGTAAGTCTCACTTTAGTTAGTGGATACCACTTCCTTCTATAATTAATTGTGTAGAAGCGACTATGGCCCACATGAGCTGATCCCCCAAAACACACAGAGAGAGAGAGAGAAAGAAAGAGAGAGAGAGAGAGAGAGAAAGTGTGTGTGTGTGTAAGTGAGAGAGAGAAAATGAACTAGCATTGGTCCCTTGTAAAGTCTCTGATGATTCGGCTTACCCAGTTTTGAGTTTTGCAAACCGTCTGAAGTCATTGATTGTTAAGAGCAAAAACGGACTGATCAAATTGTAAGGTACTGCTTTCTTTCAAAAACGAAGGCCGGTTCTAAAGCTATGGTTTTTCTTAAACTTGAAAAAAAATTTTTGCATATCCCGAGAAAAAAATGTTTCGCTGATGCATTTATGAATTTTAGATACATTATAGCACTTAATCCTCTGAACAGCCTTACGAAGTTGGTACCGTCTCATCCAACTAGTAGAGGTAATGTAATAAAGCACACTACAAACATCAAATATTCAGAGACCGGAAATCGACTTGATCTCACCTCTGGATGCGTGCCCTCATCCAGATAGTCCACCCCACCCTCTAACGCAGGTATACCAGACTGGACCCAGAACCAACGCCTCCTCCCATCTCCCAATCTTCAGGCGGAACCTACTGGACTGAGGTTCCAAAGAAGCAGCCTTGAAGAGGACTGAGAGGGCCTCAACAGCGAGGACGGAGAAGGAAGAAGCGGAGCTCCCCTCACAAATCCGAAGGGGATCCTGTCAGAGACTGGTGCAGCCGCTCCAGAGCCCTTCTTTTCAAGTCCATTCCCACTCACCTTGTTGTAACTCTCCACAAGCCTCACATGGGACCCACAATCCTCCGCGTGACGCTCCGCCGTAACGGCACGCGAACTGGGCCAAACTACTTCTACATTCACCTCTTTCCGTTTAGCGCGGGCGCAGGCGCAAGACAAACACGCTGGCCAGTTGCGTCGCAGCTGAAGATGCTGAGACAGGCTAGGCTCTGGCGCCTGTGGCGACGGCCTCCGGCGGCAAGGGTCCTAGCAGCGAACCTTGGCGGCAGAGAAGTCGCTTCCGGTGTGTTTCCCCTTGGTAATACCTCGCCCGGAGCCCTGAATATCTTTGACCGGAATTTGAAGAGAAAACAGAAGAACTGGGCGGCCCAGCAGCCCGAGCCAATGAAGTTTGACTACCTGAGAGAGGAGGTAGGTTTGGGGGACACCGCGGGCCGGCAGTCCGTACCCTGTGATGTTCGGATCCGGGAACTCTCTTTGGGCCTGGATCGACTGGATCTAGTCTTGTGACCTTGACCCGCAGCGTGTTCTTCTCGGCCTCTACTGTCACCAAAGAAAGGCTGGACTTGGATATTTTTTTAACGTGCCTTTTCATTCATTCATTCATTCAGCAAAATGTTGCTTGAGTTACCTCCATGGTTTCATCTTAAGGGGGAAAAGGCGAGACAGGCGTAGACAACAAGAAATGTAATTTCAGTTAGAGAAGTAATGTGAGGGAAACAAGTGGTATAGCGCCTGCGTTGGTCTGGCCCGGCTGCTCAGGCAAACTACTTGCCCCTGCAGCGATGGGCCAGGGGAGTGGGGTAAGGTGGGATGAGCCTCAGAGGTAAAAGGAAAGACTATTGTGAAGCCCCTGAGTCCGAAAGGACCTTATAGAAGCTTTCAATGAAGTTCCAGTGGCGGAGGTAATGGGAAAAGAGGTCAGGGTGGCCCACGTTATTAGGGACTTTGGATTTTAATCTCTTTCTGTTCCATCCAGGATGGTAAACTCCTGGCCATTGGTGGCTACTAAGACTTGGAAATGCAACTAGTCCAATTGAGATGTTTTATAAGTGTCAAATAAACACCTGACTTCAATGGCCGAATACAAAAAAAGGACATAAATTATCTCAATTTTTTTTTGTTGAGTACGTTAGTATGATTTTTTTTAACATATTGGGTTAAATAAAATATATTAATTTCTCGTAGTTCTTGTTACTTTTTTAACATGGCCACTAAAAATTTTTACATTACTTGCTTGGTACTCATGATTTTTTTGTAGCACTGCCCTAGAGGAGCGTAAGGCCTGTAAGTGGTTTTAAGCAGTGGAGTAATGTGATCTTATTTATATTTTAGGAAAATTAAGTTGAGATCTCCTGATTTGTCTGTTCTAGTCTGAGGGACCTCTTTCCCTTGCTGCCTAGGAAGTCTATGGACTGAGAGTTTATACTGAAACGGCACTGAACTCAGGGATCAGAATATATTCCTTCAGGGGTGGAGCAAAATTGGAGTTAAGTTCAGTGAGCTTTTTGAAGCTAATGCACCACACGTTAATCAGGCCCCTACTTTGAACACAACTTTGTGCAGTCACTGGCTTGATCAGGTGATTGTCAGTGTGTCACTTTTTAGGAAGCCTTACATGAGACAATGCTTAGAGGTTGATAGAGTTTATTAGAGAGAAAAGTCAACTGTCAATAAACTTCATCTCTCTCAATTTGTAAGGAACAGTGCAACACTATACTGATTTTACCAGTTACTGGTTTCCTCCTGAAGAGTTCATGGTGGCATGTACTTAATGTACTTGAAGATGTGTGTTCCTAATCCCTATTTCCTTCCAAGAAAAGCACCTGGATTACATTTTGAAGCCTTGTCAGTGTGCAGATTTATAATAAATGAGATATGAGAGTTATTTTATAATAAACAAATGCACTGATATTAGGAATGATCTACAAAGTGAATTCCTCTGGGAAAAGACTTGTGCTATACCTCCTTCCTTGCCACTCCTCCTGTCAACAAAGCACATATTGCAACTCTGGGATGTTTATGAGGGAGTAAAATGTAGGGAATATTAGACCCCTACATCTTTATTCCTGCCAGATGAAGGTAGCCCAGTAAAATGACCTGTTTTAAATTGGAATGAGGACGGGGGACGGGTTCATTCAGATTTGACTTTTTCTTTATTTATTTTTATGTGGTACTGAGGATCGAACCCAGGGCCTCGCACATGCCAGGCAAGCGCTCTACCGCTGAGCCACAACCCCAGCCCCAGATTTGACTTTTTCTAATTTGCAAATATCTCTCAAAAAATTATTAACTCATTTAAGAGTTCCATAAGATTTGTTAGTTTTCATTGTATCTACTCTTTTCTGTAATAAATCTTAGCTAACTAATTTTTTTCACTTTTACATATACTCATGCTAATATATCTGGGCATTAATTTGCCTTTTGTGTCCTGTTACTTTTCATTTTTGTGATCTTTTTTTTAAAAATATTTATTTATTTGTAGATGAACACACAATATCTTTATTTATTTTTATGTGGTACTGAGGATCAAACCCAGTGCCTCATCCATGTGAGGCAAGCACTTTACCACTGAGCTACAGCCCCAGCCCGGCATTTTTGTGATCTTATGGAATGTAAAACTGTAAACACACATACACACACATTCTTAAGAAAGTTTCATCTTGATTTCATTAAATTAATTTCTGAAGAATAATTTGCCTGTTTCTTGGAATATTTTGTGTTCCTATTCAGGATTTGAAATTTTCTTGTTAAAATAGGAAAAGGATAAAGGGAATTACTTATCATCATGCTAAAACATAAGTAACCTGTTGATTGTGGAATACTGGGGAAAGAATATTACTTCTCTGTTTAACCTACTTGACATATATACTTCATTGCTTCTTGTAATTTTTTAGGTTGGAAATCGGATTGCAGACCGTATATATGACATATCCAGGTAAATGATGGTTATTTTAAAATATAATCAACTTTAATTTATTTTACCTTTGATTTGGGTCTCACTGTATTATCCAGGCTGGCTTCAAACTCCTAGGCTCAAATGATCCTCCTGCCTTAGCCTTCTGAATAGCTGGGACTACAGGCACTTTTGGTTAAAAGCCATCCATTAAAGTAAACCAAGGTTGGGTGAATTTATTATATTTGTCTGTAAAAAAGGGAATTTTATAAAATCACAAATTCCAACTGTATTTTAGATATATTTTTGCAAAGTAAGTACCTTGGGATGAATTAATTTTTAAGGTTAAAAAAATGCTTCATTGTTTCAAATAGGTCCCCCATTTCATTTATTTCTTTAGTTCCATTATTTTAAAGAGCCAAAAGAAAAACAAAACAAAACAAAAAACTACTGTAATCATTTTGACTGGATTATAGGTCATTTGTGATATAATAAAGGAAACATTAAGTTTTCTACATCCATTTGAATTTACAAACTTATGTCATGGCTGAACAAAGCTCAGTTAAGTCTATGAAGAGACCTGTGATTATGCCTAATAGCAAGTCTTAAACATAAGTATTTGGAATTAAATTGTTAAATATACTTTTCTAACTATCCTTGCATTGATATTTTATTTTTACAAAGAGTAGTTTATATTCTCAATATTGATCTTCTGTTGACTTTTCAAAACTTAACTCTTAAATGTCTTTATTTGTAGGATCTGAGACTCTCTTAATAAGTTTATATAATCAGTAATATAACTAATTTAGCTAATTTTTGTTGAATGTTTGTACTGTCCTAATATTTTAAATGCACTATTTCATGTGACACACCAACTCTGATGGAAAGTTGTAATGTTTTCATTTTTAGATGAAGAAAATGGAATATAGCAAAGTTAAATCAGTGGTGACAGGGCTAGTAAATTGCAGACACAAAATCTGAACTTTTGTCTTTCTAATTCTAAAACCTGTGTATATAACTACACCACATTGCCTATGTTCATAATCAAGATATTGAACATTAGGTTAAAAATACAGAAAATGACTGACTGTCACCACAGGTTCTTTAACTACTGGTGTTCTATAATTTTGACATATATTTTTAAGAAAAATTGAACAGGGACTCTTCTAGTTTTTTAGGGAAGAAATGTTACTAGTAGATGAAGTTTTAACTTTTTGTCATAAATTATCTTAAACATATGGCTTATAATTAGATGTCTATACTGATATAGTATGATATGATGTTTTTTAAAGGGGACAACGTGGTAGGAAGGATACTGTTTTTGCCTTAAGATTCAAACTGACCGAATTAAAATTTTGTTGCTCCTTATTAGTTAAAAGTACCCATGTTGACCTACTTAACTCAGGACACCTAGAACTTTTAATACTTTGAGCCTGATAAATTTTTAGCAAAAGTTACCTATTATTAAATGTTTTTATTTAATTTAGCATATTAATACTCAACGAATTTGAGAAATGGGATAATTACTAAGTCAATAGTATTTCATTGTTAATTTACATTTAATGTCTTCATTCTTTATCTGGATGTATTGTTAAATTAAAACACTGTTATTAAATCTGTTCTTTTAATTCACATCATGGAGCCACCTTGTGGTAAAACTGGTTCTTCATGAGGTCCTGTGAATGAATGACTGGATTAGATAGACTTTCTCTTTATAGTATCCTCTCTGGTGGATATAGTTGCGAGGCAAGGCAGAAAAGACAGACCATATAATTTTCCAAGAATTGCCTTCAATAAAATGTTTCTACTGAAGAAAAAATTGGTTCTTAATTATTTTATGGACTGTATTATAAAACATAACTCCTGTGTCTTATATTTTAGAGATTTCACCCTTGCTTTGGATGTTGGTTGTGGAAGAGGTTACATAGCACAGCATTTGAATAAGGTATATCTATTCAACTATTTACTTTTAAAAATGAATTGGCTAGGGCCTGGTGTTGTAGCTCAGTGATAGAGTTCTTGCCTCATATGGGTGAGGCAATGGGTTCAATTCCTAGCACCACATATAAATAAGCAAATAAAATAAAGATCCATCAACAACTAAAAAATATTTAAAAAAAGAATTGGCCAATCAATTCAGTTGAATCATATTAAGATTTAGATTTTGTTTATATCAGAATTGCTAATTCATTTTATCCAGTGTTTCTACTTATTATATATATTTTTTGAAAAGCCTATATGTATTTCTCTTTGTTCTTAGTTTGTTCAAACAATGTGTTAATTCACAATAAAAATCGGGTGCTGGAGGCATAGATCAGTGGTAGAACACCTTCCTAGAATGCATGAGTCCCTGAGTTCAATCCCTGGCACTGTTTAGAAAAATTAGATCGACATTTTTATAAAAAAATATGACTAAGCTAAGTTTTTTACGTAGAAAAATGTTAATGTCATCAGTTAAAAATCTTTCTTTGTATCTTAATATAAAGAGACTATTAATATTCATGCCATTTTATTTTGCATTTCTAATTCAAAGCATAAAGACATTCATTTATTCTTTTAGCTGCTATGTATAGGACATTGTGCTGGACACAAAGGTTAAGGTAGAAATTCTATGTAAAATTTTCTTTGTAGATAAAAACACACACTTGGACCAGTGTGGGATGGGAGGGGGTGTTTATGAGGCTTCTAAAACACTGTTATTGATAATAGTACATGCCATAGAATCAGTACAGTCATTCAAATGTGGCAGGAGTTAAAGGAAAGGAAAAAATTCGCAGGGATCTTGGCTTTTCAGAGGCACAGAACCTGACATGTTATTTTAAAGAATTTCATAACATTAGAAGACAGAGCAGAGCAGAAGGGAAGTTAAAATGCTATGGGATGTGATACAGTAATGTTTAAGGAAGATTAATTTGAGGATGACATGCAGGAAGAAAAAGAAGGGAGAGGATAAAGAAATAGGTCAATTAGGAGGCTGCGTTAAAGGTGGTACAGGTATGGGAGATAAAGACCTGCCACCTATTCGGAGGCAGCAGATATACAAGATGGGATATATGAGACCTAGTAAACCTAACAGAACTTGATGACTCACTATTAGTGAGTCTTACTTGGATTTCAATGTATATCTGTAGCCCTACTACTTTTTAACCACCCTCACCATTACTTATCAGTCTTAGCTACCATCACATCTTGCCTAGATATTTGTTTTTAATGAATTTAACTTTTATTTTATTTATTTTTATGTGGTGCTGAGGATCGAACCCAGGGCTTCACCCATGCTAAGCATGTGTCACAGCCCCAACTCCATTCCCTAGATTTTTGCAGTAGCTTTCTTATTGGAATCTTAATCTATTCGAACAGCAAAGTAATCCTTTTAAAATGTAGGTTATGTCATTTTTAGCCCATTGCTCGGAACAGTTGATTTCTCATCTAATTTAGTCATAGTCTAGAGTCCAGTCCATAAAGCCCTCAGTGGTATGGCTTTTTAACATGGCCCTGACATTTCCTTCCATGAGAGGAAATCTTATTTTTAGCAATCCTAGCAACCTTGGTTTGTCATGTAACAGGCCAAAGCTTTGTGCTACACTTGTTCTCTATGTTCTTCCCCAAGATACTTGTGTAACTTACTTATTTCTGTTAAGTCTTTGCTCAAATAACCCCTCATCACAGATCCTTTCCCTGACTACTTTCTAAAGTAGTGCACTCTACTCACTTGTTTCCATAGCATTTATTAACCCTGATGTATGTTTGTTTTTCATATTAGATTTGTTCATTTTTGTTCATTACTAATTCTCAGTACCTATAACCTACAACGAAGATATCTTAAATGATAAATGCATGAAAAAATGTGAGATAATCTTAAAGTTAAGACTTTAGAGATTGGGAAAAATCAGAATGAAATGCAGCAAGGAGCAAGGGATGATTCCTATCTTGAATATGTTGAGTTTAAAGTATCAGAGGAATATATTATTGTTGAGATCTGGCAAGTAGATGGAAATGGGGAGCTAGAATTGGAGTGTTGAGGTTAAGAGCACTGAGTTGGAAGTTGGACAGATAGGGATTCGAAATTTCAGCTCTGCTACTTGCTGTTTATGTGGTCTTAGAGCAGTTATCCAGTGTTTCTAGACCTCAGTTTCTATAAAATGTGAGCAGTAATGCCTATCTTAAAAAGATAGCAAAAGATTTGGGACAGGGTAATTCTGGCAAAGTAGAGGATATGGTACTTATTTAGAAGTCTCTTTCAGAGATTACAAGCAAAGCCATAGAAATAGGTAAGCTCTCTGAGGCAAGGATGTAGAAAACAACCATTCACAACTGGAAGAATGAGGAAGAGCCAGCAAAGATGCCAGGAATAATAAGAAAGATGAGGTTGTGGTTAAGTGATAGAGCACTTACCTAGCATGTGTCAGGCACTGGGTTCTATTGTCAGCACTGCTTATAAATGAATGAATAAAGGTCCAATGACAACTGGAAAGTTTTTTTTTTTTTTTAATTCTTAACGCAAGTGCTCTATCACTTAGTGATATTCCTAGCCTATCTCTTGATGTAAGAAGCAGAAGTCCACCCAAACCACTTGAAATGCAGTGACAGTTGTTGCACAGAGTTCTTATTTATTTATTTATTTATTTATTTATTTTAATGTGGTGCTGAGGATTGAACTCAGTGCTTCATGCATTCTAGGCAAGTGCTCTACCACTGAGCCACAACCCAGCCCCTGCACAGAGTTCTTAAAGTAATTTATGGATCTGGCCAGGCCTCACAAGGAATAGGGACTTTGAAATATCAGTATGAAGACCTTTTTGTTCTTGTGCTTTCTGGAATTACATGGGTGCTACATGGCCAGAGCTTCATCCTTTTTTTTTCCCTATAGACCATCCCTAGTGTTCATTAGTGTATGTAGCCCCAGTACAAGTAGTACCCTACCTCAGTGGAGTGCTAACGGTGGCTCATACCAGCTCAGAAAAGCCATTTTTCTCTTCCCCAATCCTCTGCTCATTGACATTGGGAAATCAGCCATGGCGGAAGTATTTACACCATGGAAGTTGACAAATGCTTCAAATAAGTCTCCTGCTAAGAGTCAGGTATTAAGTGTATATCAGAACCCTGAGGTCTTCATGGTCTTCCAACTCAGGGACCTCTGCCCTTCTTTCTAAGACTCTTAGTTCAATTTTCAAGTGAAACAGATAAGTTGATTGGTCTCATTCTTCACCCCTCACAGAGTTGTGCTGGAGCTGGCTCATGAAAGTCAGTTGTGTCCATCTCAGCTCCACATCTAGCAATACCATATTGTTAGAATGAAATCCATCATTTTTGGAGTAGTTACAACATGAAAATCAGCAAACAGTACCAGAGTGCCTTTTTTTCTTTTTCTTCTTTCTCAAGAGTCTGTCCTTAAGCATTTATCTGCACACTGTTTATCCTCAGGTAATCAGCAGTGATCAGGTAATCATAGAGTTTTGTGGTACAGTGTACCCTTGCTAGACTATGAGCAGGAAAAAGCAGATGTGGAAGAATTGAAAGGGGCCTGCTTTTCTAATAGAGGAGGGGATCCTGAAGAAAAAGCACTTAAGTTTCTAGGAGATGCCTAACAGTGTTGGGCTTCAAAGAGGTCAAGTGAAACAGGACTGAGAGCAGCAACAACAAAGTGCTATGTTGGTGCTTGGGCCATTACTTACCTCCAGAAATAGGTTTACTGGAGCAGTGAAAGGAAGATAGAGTCCCAAAAATTATAAAGAAAACCTCAGTAAGTAGAGTCTGGGTTATAAACCAAATAACTAGAAGATGCTTAGAATTGAGTTTGTGTGTGGCTTCTGCCAGTTGTAAGGTGAAGGAAAAGACTAGAAGACAGAGATTGAAGATTGGTAGAGGAGAAAATGGAAGGAACAGGATCCTGGAGAAAAGAGCTGTGTGGAAAGTTTTCATGTGGAACAGATATAGTGTAGTACCCTTTCCTTTTGAAAGGAAGAGAGGTTACATGAAATGGAGAAAATGAAACCCTTTAAGCCCTAATACTAAGTCTTTATGTGTAAGCTCCTCTATCCTTTGTAAATTCTTTGAGTAACTATAAGTAGGAAGCTCATCTTGATGTGTGGCACAAGATTATGGAAATTTGCATATTAAACCATGAAAAAATTAATACAGAACCCTAACACAGTGGAGTAAAGTAGGGATGTAGGTATTTGCACTTGTGTTCTTTATTTTATTAAATAAAGTTAAATGTACTTAATATAGTAAGCTGCTTGTGTTTAAATGTGTTTTTTAATATGTTATTAAAGGCATTTGTGTACCATATTGTTGTTAGGCAGAAAAATACCCTTATAAAGCTGAAAAATGAATCTTTTCAACAATTGTTTTATTTGTTACTACATTTATATATTTGCTCGTTTTTGATCATCTGATCAGCTTTAATTTTTCCATTGCAGGAAACTGTTGGAAAATTTTTCCAAACAGACATTGCAGAAAATGCTTTGGTAGGTAGCTTTTAACACTGTTGGTTTCTGATCTCCTGGTAATAGTTTCAGTTCTTTATTTCCTTCAAAATGAAAATAGCTAGCTTTTTTTTTCTTCTTCCTCTGATCATAAATGTGATACACATGAAGAAGAATTAAACAGTATAGAAAATAAAAATTAAAAAAAATCACCCCTAGTTCTCCCTCTCAGAGGCAACAACTGGTGAGATTTAGTCTGTATCTTTGCAGACATATTACTGTCCCCCTCCACTAATTTTATATGCACTATATTATAGCATTCTACATTTTTCACAGAATGTCATTCTTTTTTGTTAATAATAATTGTGTCTGTACTATCTTTTTAAATGGCTACATAGTTTTTCAATATGAATATCCTATGGCTTATTTAGCTTAATTGCTATTGAAAAGCAGTTATATTTCTAGTTTCTCAATAACTAGCAGTGCAGTAAATATCTTTATGTGAAATAACTGTGTGTGCTCAAATTATTTTTCTGTCTGGGAATGAATTTCTGGTAGTGGAATTTATGGATTCATTGATATTAAGTTTTTGGTAATACTTCTCCAGGCTGCCCTTTAGAAAGATTGAATGATAATATTATTTGAAAATATGTTTTCCTCCTTCTCTTTCTCAACACTGGGTCAGTTGTTTTGTCAGTCAATCTGATAAGCAAAATTGAAAATCTCTTTTTTCAAAAAAATTGGGGGGGGTGCCTCTCTTTGAGTACTGGTTTAGCCAAACAGCTGTTGGTATCTCTTGGTTATTGGTATTTCTTGTGAATTTCACAACTTGTTTTAGGTGATTGTAAGAGCTTGTTTTTTAGGAATATTAAGCCTTTATCTTGTATATTGTAAATATTTTCCCCAGTTTGTTTGCATTGTCTATTGCTTTTTAAAAGTTTTAAGTTAGCTTATCATCAAATATTTTAGTCATTTCACTTATAGTGACTAGTTTTTGAGTTATATTTAGACTTTTAAAAAATCTAAGTATGAACGTATTCACCCATGTTTTCATGTAATATTCTTTATGGCAATTATTTCACTGGAAGCTTCTACTTTCTGAGATTGTTTTTTTGCGGGGGACATGGTATGAGATGGGTATCCTGTTTGTTTTTCTAATCAACTCATCAGTTTTTTTGGCTGATCTTAAATGTCCTTTAAGAAATATTTTTTAATACCTTCTATGTGCTACTTTTTTCCTAGAGAAACTACCAGGGAATATAACATTAACTTTATTTAACAATGATTGTGTTAGCAATTGAGCCTATATAAATATGTTTTTGTTTTTTTGTTTTTTGTTTTTATCTTAAACTTTAGAAAAATTCCTTAGAAACAGAAATTCCTACTGTCAGTGTTTTAGCTGATGAAGAATTTCTTCCCTTCCGAGAAAATACATTTGACCTGGTGGTAAGCAGTTTAAGGTTAGTAATCCATTTGTACTTTTAAAAAATATGTTACAAATAGATTATTTATGCCATAATTTTACTCTTATGGGGTAGAAAAAATGGATAATGGAGTAAATTCTTAATCACTTATTTTTAAAATTACAAACCAGGTAGTTTAATGTATAAACTTAAGATTTCTCTGGTAAAGGATTATGGATATAGTGCTTTCTGATAGAGATAATATGAGCTAGTTTTTCAGCTTTCTCTTTATTCTCAACTTTCTACAAATGGCTAAAACAGATTTATCTGTGATACAGGGGATTCCTTCCCAATTTAACTTAGTATTCTGGAATTGGTATTGATGGGGACAGGAGTTTGAAAGAGTATACTGGCCATAGTATTCAAGTATTAGAGCACTCTTATAGTCATTTGGCAAATAAGGGAAAACTGATGTTTTCTCAAACTTTAACTCTTTCTTATAGAAAGATAGTCTACAAGGTTATTTTTTTTTCCTTTGTGTTCTCTACCATGTACCTTTACACTTACTATAAAAAAAAAAACTACTATAAATATTTTTTGAACAGATTACATGAGGCACTAATCTAGATGCTTTGAGGAAAATACAAATATGAAATCAGACCAGATCCTATCCTCAAAGAACTTTGAGTTCAATAAAGAAAAGAAAATATTTTCAGTGGCCTCTTATTTCTCCTTTGTTTTTATAATCAAATAGATTTTCTTTCAAAGGTTTGTTGTGCTTGTCACATCCAATTTAAACCTTTTGATAACTGTTTTGTGATGACCAGCCATCATAGTCTGCCCAGGACTTTGCTAGTTTTAGCATTGATAGTCCTGTGTTCTAGAAAACCCCTCAGTCATAGGCTAACTGGGAGAGTTGATGATCTTTGCTGTTTTCTTGAGTGTGTTGTTGTTGTTTGTTTGTTTGTTTTTTATACCTACTGAGCAAATTTAGAAACCCATTCTGTTAGGAAATGAAAAACTGTATTATATACAGAGTCTTTATCTATGAAAAGAACCTTAGACAGAGTCAAAAGGAGTGGGATAGCTGGGTCATATGGTGGTTCCATTCCTAGTTTTTCAAGAAGTCACCATATGGCTTTCCAGAGCGGTTGTACTAATCCAAACATGCAGGAAAGTTATACACATATTACTAAGTGAGAGAAGCTAATCTGAAAAGCCTATATACTCTGTGATCCACCTAAATGACATTCCAGAAAAGGAAGAACTATGGAAACAGTAAAAAAGATCAGTGGCTGCTAGGGATTATGGTATAAGAGATGAGTAGGCAAAGCACAGGATTTTTCAGGGAGTGAAAATATTCTATATAATATGGTAATGGTGATAAACATCATACATTTGTCTAAACCCATAGAGGGTACACCAAGAGTGCATCCTACTATAAACTATGGACTTTGGGTGATAATGATTTGTCATTGTAGATATGTCAGTTATAGCAAATGTGTTATACTGATAAGGATGTTGATAAGGGGGGAGATTGCATGTGTCAGCATGGGGGTATATGGGAAATCTCTGTACTATCCTCTCAGTTTTGATATGAATTGTAAACTGCTCTAAAAAATTACAATAAAATCTTAAAATGCAGAAAAGGTAGGATGATGTTTATCAGAAAACTCACTGAGTTAAGCTTTGAATAATTCTGTTTGCCTAGGGAAAGTTTTAGATTTGCTGATAATTTTATTTTATTTAATTTTATTTGCTGATAATTTTATTTTTAGACTAACAGAAAATATCTTGATTGATTTAATTAATGAGCTTCTTTCTTCGAATAAAGCCTCTGAATACTACTATTTGGATGAAATGCCAAATAGAAATTACTTTTACCTTATTAAGTGATGAAGACTAGTTAGATAATCATATCAGATTTTTTATGTAAGTACAGTTATTCACTGGCAGAAAAAAGATTTTGCCCTAGAAATGTTTATTATTTAAAGATTGTATGAAAACACTTTTGCTAATATTTGCTAATATTGATATATAATTTCAGACTTCATAATTAACACCATGTTTTTGCTTTATCATATTAATGATAATTATACTAATGAAGCTAAAATTAGTATGTTTCTACATTTTAGTTTGCATTGGGTGAATGATCTTCCTAGAGCACTTGAACAGGTAAGAAACCTTCCTTTGATTCTACTACTCTCTTATTTACTACTAGAAACTTATAGATGTTTTCATCATGATGTGACAATTGGAGAATGGAATCAAATCAACTACAATCTTCTGTGGGCTGGGTATGTTTCTGGTGGGCTGGTGTTCTTTGGCATGTAAATGTGTACATTGAAAAAAATGTACATTGAGGTAAAGACAAATTTTGAATATATGTGAAAGGCTTAATAACTGTGCAAAATAATATTGACATAAAGACATTTTCTCTTGGGTTCCTTCTCTCCCTTAATTGCTTAAAAATATTTTAGGGTTAAAATCCTATTTATTTATATTGTATCTTCTCCATGCCTTATATGTAGAAAGTGTTAGGGAAATGCTTGTCAACTAACATTTATCAGTGAAAAGGAGAGGAGTAAGTTAAAAAAAAAATGGATTCAAAGGAGAGAAAGAGATCACTGTTGCTTAGAGTTGACTAGGAAAGTTCTTAGAAAGGAATTACTTGAGTACTAGAGGTTAGGTGAGATTTGGATTGAGAGGGCATTTCAGGAAGACAGAATCAGCATAGGTGGGGAGGCATAAGAACCTCAGCAGCGTGAAGGAACAATGAAGAAAGCTGTTGGAGGATTAGTTTGTGCTGGGAGATGAGGTATATTGGGACCACATAAAAGAGGAACTTTGTTGCCAGATCAGGAATCTGAAGTTTACTCTTTATGCAATTTAGAGCCACTGGAGAACTTTAAGGAGAAAAGTGACATGTTTGAAAAGCTTGGTGGGCAGGATAATAAATCCTATAGCTGGGCACATACTCTTTGCTAGTTATGGTGTTCTGTTTTATGTGGGAATTAAATAACCCTGCACAATAATATCGTTTCTTAGAAAACGAATTCATGGAGAAATTTGGTTAAACTGCAGGGAGATTGTTTCAGTGGTCCAGACTTGAGGAAACTAAACCTAAGTGACAATGATAAGAGTTAAAAGAAGGGAGAAGTTTCTAGCATTCTGCAAATAGTCTAATGACTTGTTAGCTCTGAAGATCAAAGTGAGGAAAGAGTAAAAGTTCATCTTAATGTTTTGTTTTTGTTTGGTACCAGGGACTGAACCCAGCGTACTTAACCACCGAGCCACATCCCCATCCCTTTTTATGTTTTATTTTGAGACAGAGTCTTGCTCAGTTTCTTAGGGACTAGCTAAGTTGCTAAGGCTATCTTCAAACTTGTGGTCTTCCTGCCTGAGCCTCCCATGCTGCTTGGATCATCTTAAAGTTTTGGATGAGGATATTAGGAGGAATAATTAGCAAAAGTAGGGTGATGGTAATGATTATATAAAGGAAATAGAAAATGGGAATTAACCAAAATACGACAATTACAAAAGGAATTTGGTTTGAGAATAGGTATTTTGCTTGAATGGAGTGGGAGCCGTGGCAGTGATAAGTTTGCTAAGACAAATATCCATGACGATGGCAGTTCAAGATGAGTTTAGAGTTCTGGGAAGATGTCCAGGCTGAAGATAGAAATTGGAAAGTCATCTTTGTGAAATCATAGTTGATGATAAGACCTACAAGGTAGAGAGGGGCTGCAAAGAGCTGAGGAATAAATCGTGTGTGTGTGTGTGTGTGTGTAAAATTTAAGTGACAAAGAGAAAGAAGTAATACTGAAGAGGTATAAGAGAAGAAGAAAAAGATTTTTGTTTGTTTACTACTTGTAATTACTTTATGATATATTAAATATAAATTTAAGATAATGCTTAGAAGAGCTTAGTGTGGTTAAAATTCCTCCTTGTCAGGCTGGGGATGTGGCTCAGCAGTAGCGCACTTGCCTGGCATGTGTGAGGGAGGCACTGGGTTTGACTCTCAGCACCACATATAAATAAATTTTTTTGAAAAAGTAAGGTCTATCTACAATTAAAAAATATTTTTTAAAAAGTCCTCCTTGTCTTTGTTGTTGAAAACAGTCAAATCTAGTTACAAGTTATAATCTTAAGAGAATCACTGGGTAAACATTTATGTGTCTAGAGTTCAGTCTGGCCAGTATTTTGCACAAGTTAACAATTAAAAATTGCTTTTGCTTGGGGCTGGGGATGTGGCTCAGGTGGTAGTGCGCTCACGTGGCATGCGTGGGGCACTGGGTTCGATCCTCAGCACCACATAAAAATAAAATAAAGATGTTGTGTCCACCAAAAACTAAATAATAAATTGCTTTTGCTTTAAAGATAGAAAATAATTATGTTTTAAAGAAAACCAATTTGTTAGTGGGTTAATGCTGTGAATTGTGATTTCTCTATTGATTTCCTTTTTCTGCATAATAAACAATCCCAATTTAGTAGCTTAACACAATTATTTATTTAGCTCATGATTTTGTGGGTTGGTAATTTGGGCTGGATATAGTTAGGAAATTCTTTTGGACCTGGTGTGGCTCATTCATGTGTCTGTGACCATCTGCCATTGGAAACTATATGGTTTAAGATGGCCTCAGCTGAAACAACTGGCTGATCTCCACTTCGTATGTCTCTTATCCTCTACCCAGCTACCTCAGGCTTGTTCGAAATGTGGGACCTGGGCAGGGCTCCAAGAGAAAAGGTGAGGCATGCAAGGCCATTTAAGATCTAGATTTGAAACTAATACACTGTCACTTCTACTACATTTAGCTAAATTGAAGGGAAAAGGAAGTAGACATTCAGCTAAATTGAAGGGAAAAGGAAATAGACTCCGTATGTATTATCACAGAATGTCATTTCAGAGGGCACAGACACAGGAAGGACTGTGATTTTTGCAATCTACCACACTTAATTTTTTTTCTTTCAGTGTTTTTCTGACTATAAAAGTAAGTGTGTCTATTATAAAATTTGAAGACATGCAACATATTTTTACAGAGATTAATATTTTTAATAAAATACCCCCAAAAGACAAATCAATTGTAATCCATAAAAGCAATGCTGGAGGCATCAAAATAGATTTAACTATTACTAGTGAGTGTATTATCTCTCTTTATAACTTCATCATACAGCAGTAACTTTCTGAAATTTGTGATCATGTTAGATGTTATATATCTTATTGTTAATTTGGGAAAATACTGATTTAGACATCATGTATTTATTCTTTTAACATTTCTACATGTACAATTTTAAATAGTTTTGTTATCTTATATTTATTACAGATTCATTATGTTTTAAAACCAAATGGAGTTTTCGTCGGTGCAATGTTTGGAGGTGACACGCTCTATGAGCTTCGGTGTTCATTGCAGTTAGCCGAAACAGAAAGGGAAGGAGGATTTTCTCCACACATTTCTCCTTTTACTGCTGTCAATGACCTAGGACATCTGCTCGGGAGAGCTGGCTTTAATACCCTGACTGTGGTAACTATCAAGAGAATCAAGTAATCCATTAATTGCTTAGTTCAAGGAAAGCTTTTATTGACAATTCTTATTGTGCATAAATACAAAATTGATTGATACAAGGCAGGAATGTAAAATTTTCAGTATTTGTTACCAGAATAAGTAACTCCAAAAAATGTACCCTAGTTAATTGAGGAGACTGTTTTCTAAACATACTGCTCCATTTTTCAATTACAGCATTTTTAATTTACAGAATCTTTAAATCCATAGTTAAATATAATATGGGAGTTAGAGCATTACAGATAATAGAATAAAAGATATCTACAGGGCATCACCATCTCTTAATTAAAACAGTGCCATATGAGGCAGCAATGAGAAACTGCAGAAACCAGGCCTAGTCTTATATATTGAGTTAGAGAAGGTAGGATGTTCTACTCCATTAGGACTGAAGAGTTTTAAATTTTTTTTTTAGAGAGAGAGAATTTATTTTTTTAATATTTATTTTTTAGTGTTCAGTGGACACAACATCTTTATTTTATTTTTATGTGGTGCTGAGGATCGAACCCAGAGCCCAACACATGCCAGGCGAGGGCACTACTGCTTGAGCCACATCCCCAGCCCAACTGAAGAGTTTTAGAAAGAGGACCCAAAGGCAGGCAGTGCAGAAGAAACAAGGAGTCAGCATGGTACAGTGATGGGACATAGCATTGGTGTCCATTGGGTGTAATTTGAATCCTTACTCTTCCCTTTTACCAGTGAAGGAATGTAGGTAATTTTCTTCATTTCTTTGAGCATTCATTTATTTAATCTCTTTTCTTTCTTTCTTTTTTGATGATTTATAGTTGAACATAATAATGGGATTTATTATTACATATTTGCAAGCACGCAATATAACAATATAATTTGTCCAGTATCACTCCTTGGGCATTCATTTCTTTAAAAATGAAAATGTATTTCTCTAATAGCTAAAGATGATAAACTTTTATATATATATTTGTTGACCATTCATATTTTTTTTTCTGTGAAGTGCCTGTTCAATTCCCCTTAGGTGGCTGTTAATATTAAATAAGATAAAGGTTGTAAAATGGCTGGACCATGACAAATGCTCAATAAATATTAACTTCTTCCTTCTTCTTTCCCCATTTTTGTACTTTTAGCACTTTCCAGGAATAGGCTTCCAAGAGGGAGTCGTTTAGAAAAACAGTGATTGGCCCCTTGCATCCTCCTCCAATAGTACAGTCTTTCTAAAGAACTCATTACTCTTTTCATAAATGAGTTGAATAGCTTTACTGTGATTTTTCAAATCGTTCAGTCTTAGAAAATCTCTAAACCTGATTAGAAAAAATTGGAATTTCTTAAAAAAAGTTTCTCATTGCATAATTAGAGCTGATAGGCTTAAAATTAAAATAGCTATCTGAGATAATTTAGTGTAAATGTATTTCCTAAAATTAACCAACCAAAAAAATAGATTGTAATATCCTTCCTTGTATTGACAGAAAGCAAGCAGTATAAACTAGCAGGTCTCTGATATTACAAAGAGGCTTCCAGGAAAGGGAAGAAATAATAGTCTGGAAGGCTAGGCTAGGAACTAAAGATAAGCTTCAAGACTTCCCAACTCTGTCTAGTGTTGATTTTTTTATAAACTTTTAAATGGCCTGAGTCAGTAGAAATTTTGCTGAGATATTGAACAGCTGGAAATCAGAAAAAAATGCTTTGCGTGAGTTTGTAAACAAAGCCAACATTATTGACACAGGCAAGTGTACATTGAGGGTTCATTGTACTTTTGCATATATTTTTAATCACATATTTTATATATATGTATGTTATGTTAAACTATACAGATAAAGTAAAAGTCTATCATTTTTTTTTAATCCCCCAAATCTTGGCTTTCTTCTGAAGGCAGCTTTCTCTTTAGTGTGGGAACGCCTCTACAAACTTTAATATTATTGAAGACCTTAAAGGATTTCTATTTATTTGACTACATATTAGAAATTAAAATTAAGTTTGTTTTGGTATTTATTAATACATATTAGAAATTAAAATTGTTTGTTTTAGTATTTATTAATTCATTTAGAGCTAACAATAATATACCAATTACTTGTTAATACAAAAACCTATTTTTTATGGAAAAGGACTATATTTTCTAAAAAGAAAATTGAGAATTAAAGAATTAAGAAATTAAGAATGTTGGGCTGGGGTTGTGGCTCAGTTCAGTGGCAGAGCACTTGCCTACCATGTGTGAGGCACCGGGTTTGATCCCCAGCACCATATATAAATGAATAAAAAATAAAGGTACATCAATAACTAGAAAATATTTTTTTTAAAAAAAGAATGTCATTACTTCACAGTTTTACAAATTTCTGTAATGTTTACCTTAATAAAAGAGAGCTAGATTCTCATGTCTGCTTCTGCATTTACATTTTTGCTACACTACATGCCATACAGCTTCTGAAAGAATCTACACCTCCATAGAATAAGAAATAAAAAAGGCAAATAATATCTTAATATTATTATGAAAATTTTTTTGACTTTATAGGCTCCCAAAAGGGTTCTGGAGATCCCAGGATTCACCAAGCCACTTTTTGAGAGAACTACTGCTCCAGAAGTAGCTTACTATTATCGGTTTGGTGTGTAATGTTCCAGATTTTTTTTTTTCCATGAACTACTTTACAGTACTATATATAGCACTTATACATATGAATATTTCTGAAATGTACTTTTTATTCTTGGTATATTTTAGAGTTTTCTAAATCAATGTAGATATATTTGTCCTCCTATTCAACTTCTACATTTTGTTTCCTAGTATGAATGTACCATGGTTTTATTTAATTATTTCCCTCTGAACAATATTTATGTTTTCTATTTTTTAACCAGTAGGAACAATACTACAGTGAGTGTTCTTCTATTCCATTTATTTTATTTATTTATTTAGTTTTCCAACAAACATTGAGTACCTTCTATACACCAGACATTATCTCAGGTTTTGAATATAGCAGTGAAAACAGTAAAGATTCCTGCCTGATGTTTTGGATTTATAGTGGACCTCTCAGTAGACTTTAAAGGGTTCAGCAATCCTGGAATATAACATGCAAATTTGTTTTTCATCGTTCAGATTGGAAGGAAAGTACCTGTGGTTTTGTCAGATCTTGAGAGAGATCTTGACTAAAAATAAATCAGAAACCACTGGTTTAAAGCTTTAATCTCTAATATATATTTTACTTAAAATATTTAAGAGATTACCTTCACAGTCTGTCCTCTTAAGAATTATCCCCTATATTGCTGTTACAAATCTGTAATTGAAGTGAAAAAACAATCTAGGGTAATGTAAAGCCTCTAAAACATCAGGAGAGAGTGTGGGGATGGGGTGACTGCAGATTAATTTGAATAAGATCTGTTTTAAAAAATATATTTATTTTTTAGGGTTTTTTTTTAGGTGAACATAATATCTTTATTTTTATTTGGTGCTGAGGATTGAACCCAGGGCCTCATGCATGGTAGGTGAGCACTCTACCACTGAGCCACAACCCTAGCCCATGAATAAGGCCTTTTTGAAAGCTGTGGTGATATTCTTTTGATTGAGATGGAGATAGTAGTTTTAGATGGTTTTATTGAAAAGTTGTTTTTAAAGGGTACTGCTTAATAATTAAGTATCAGCCTCGTAGGAATTTTGTTTTTAATCTTAGAACCTCTTACCCCATCTCATGCACCCACCCATAGCCAGAGTCTCTTTTGAAATAGTTTGTTAGTGTAGAAATGTGTATAGATGGAATATTCATAATCCAACTATCCAAAGGTGGTCTTAATAAAAGCCCTTCACACAACCTGATCCATGCAAATGGTTTTTTTAATTCATAAAATGTGTGTATGTATATATGTGTGTGTATATATATATATATATATATATATAGAGAGAGAGAGAGAGAGAGAGAGAGAATGAGATAGAACGAGGTCTAAAGTGAAAAGAAAGCTCCACCTAACTACTGATACTTTGACTCTCCCCCCAAAGATTTGTTAACTATATCCTATACTTACCTTTCAAAACAATTTTCCTTATAGATCAGATTTTAACCCACATATGTAGTAATCTGCACATTTTTCTTTTTAACATATTCACTCTTGTTTTCTTTTTCATAGATATTGGAAACCTTCTCCTGCAGACATATCTACCTCATTGTTTTTAGTTGGTTGGTAGATATTCTTAATTTAGTCGGTCATCTATTAATGACATTTATTTAGAACTAGTTTCCAATAGACACAAACTCCTTCACCTTAGTTCTTAACACAGTAAAATTTTATTACATCACAGCCTTATACTGGTTGGACAGCACATCTTATTTTGGAGCTCTATATATTTCCAGTGTTGGGTAATGAACCTGGGGCTTCACTGCTGAACAGTGATCTACTACTGAGTTACACTCCAGCTTCCCGTCGCCTTTTTGTAGCTATGCCATCTGGCCCTTGTGTCCTTTAAGGTCACCACAGCAAAAGAGACATGACAAGGAAAGGCTCACAAGCCCTTTAGTACCTGGCACCTCTTTTTTTTTTTTTTGGCCTGAAAAGAATGTCTGAGGCTGAGAAGTATCAAAGACATCTGGATATTTGGGAAGCATCAGTGATCTCTGCTACTGTATCAACAATGAACTCTGGTGTCAAACATCATGAAGAAGGGGGAGACATTATTCAGTAGTTCATTTGAGAAATAAATTGTACATGAAGCAGCAATGTGCTCATTTCCCAAATAAGCCAGTATAGTTTGGGCTGAATTATTAAAAGTATAATGAAGGGGCTGGGGTTGTGGCTCAGTGGTAGAGTACTTGTCTGGTATGTGTGAGGCACTGGGTTCGATTCTCAGCACCAAGTAAAAATAAATTGTCCACCTACAATTAAAAAAAATATTTTAAAAAACAGAAGTAGTAGTAGGATGAAAACATGTTGGGACATGACTGTATTTGACTCAATTCTGGTACTGCATTTTAAGAAAGATTGATATTGACCATGTCCTGTGAAATGTAGTCAGAACATATAAGGATCTGTAAGCTTTATCTACAAGACTGGCTCCCTTGCCAAAAAGCAAAACTGTTTTGTCCTGGAAGAATTTTCAGAGACTTAAGAGAAAAGGGTCATGGTTTATAGAGTACAGAATTGTGTTATTCCATGTTGTTCCCAAGGAGAGAACTATAACCAGTTGATGGAGTTTTAGGAATAATTCTGTCATAATATAAGAGAATGAGATAGAACAAGGTCTAAAGTGAAAAGTATTTATTCAACATTTTGAGATCTTCTTAAGTCAAGCATAAGCCAGTTAATAACTGTAAAGAATATTATAAAGAAAATTTTCTGCTTACCATGAAGACTTTATCTAGGAAATCTCTACAGCCCCTTCTCAACTTTGGATTTTTTTTTTTTTAAATGATGAATGTCAAATGGATATTCCTTTTCCTTCTTAAATAGGATACGGATGAAATTCAAGTTAACTATCCTGGGATGTTTGAATTGATGGAAGACTTACAAGGTAATGCATTTTAAACAATTTTTAGACTCCTTTTGAGAGATATATTTTGAGAGTCCACTCTGGCAGGCGTTGGGGTAAGCACTAGGGATCCATTGATGAGGAGAAAGCATACTATCTTCATGTAGCTTATAATTTCAAATGGAGAAGGCAGACACTTGACAGTTGTCACAAAGATAAGTGTTAAATTATAATTGCAGTCAGTTCTGTGAAGTAGGGGTATTTAGGGCTCTGGCTGCTTTTAGAAAGATGGCAGGATTTTTCTAGTGATGGTAGAACATATCAGTGACTTTCTCCAGCAGAAGTTGGCATCTCAGGTTCAGGTACAAGGAAGCAGGTAGTTAGATAGGTTTAGGATTAGAGTTTTATCAAGGATTGATCCTGATCAGAGAGACTCAAAGGAGTCTTGTTTGAGGAAGATGCAATTGGGCTGGTTTTTAAAAAAATAAAGGTGGAAAGGGAAGGAAAGTAAGTCCCAGGTAAGGAAAACAGCATATGCAAAGGCCCTTTGTAAGAAAGAATATGACAAAAACTGAGAAGGCATTTTGGCTACACTACAGGGAAGAAGGAGGACATATGATGAAACAGTTGATAAATAGGGGTCACAGAACTTAGGACCTTGTTAAGGTTGTTTGTCCTTAAAATGTCCTTTGAAGTGTTTTTTTTTTTTTTTTTTTAAAGAGAGAGTGAGAGAGGGGGGGGACAGAGAGAGAGAGAGAGAGAGAGAATTTTAACATTTATTTATTTTTTCTTAGTTCTTGGCAGACACATCTTTGTTTGTATGTGGTGCTGAGGATCGAACCCGGGCCGCACGCACGCTAGGCGAGCGCGCTACCACTTGAGCCACATCCCCAGCCCCTTTGAAGTGTTTTAATAGGGGGAACACAACATAAGATTTATAGGCTGAAAGCAAGAATTGGCAGGTAAACTAATAGTGAGACTTACTGCTGTAAAGCTTTCCAAGAGGTGATGATGATTTATACTAGAGTGGTAGCATTGGAAATTGGGAAAAGAAAATGCATCCCAGAGATATTTAGGAGGGAAATTTGACAGTTCTTCCTATGAATTTGATGTGTGGATGGATGAAGGACAGAAGTATTTCAAACATAATTGCTAAGTTTTTAGCTCATAACCAGATGGTTGGTGCCCTTCACGGACAAAGAGTAGAAGATGAATGTGGGTGAGCAGAGACAGTTCTGACAGTTCTTATATTCACGTTTTATGTTCATATTTGAATATATCAGGTGTGAAGTGCTTTTGGAATATCAGAGATGTCATGTAGGTAGTTGGGTTTATAAGTAGAAGACCACTGGCATGGTTAAAGTTGTGAGTCATTTGTGAAGCAATTTCCTGGGATAAGAGCATGGAATGAATAGGGAAAGTTCCTTGGTACTGACCCCTAGGAGCCTTATATAACAGCCAGGTAGAAGGATGAGGCTACAGAATGACTGAGAAGGAATAGCCAACAGAAATGCCAGAAAAGTTTTAGAATTCCTTGAACCAAGGGAAAGGGTTGCAAAACAATAGGAGCACTCAACAGCATCAAAAGCAAAATGCAGACTGAAAGAAAAATTCACTAGCTTTAAGAACTAGAAGGTTATTGGTGACTTTGGTGAGAGTTCCTTTTTGGAGTTAGGGTAGTAGAGTAGTAGTGGTATTGGGAGTAGGTTCAGATATAAGTGGAAGGCAAGGAGCAAGAGAGAGCAGATACCTTCTGCTCAAGAGGTCTGACTGAAGAAGTGAGGTATGAAAAGGTTACAACTTTTGGAAAAAGAGAAATAGGGGATGAGATGAAGGGTTGTTTTGTTTTGTTTTATTTTGTCCTGAGACTCGAATTTATTTAACTGCTGAGTGTAAGAACTCAGGTTCTTCCATAGGAGAGATGACTCCAGAAGAGAGAAGATGATAATGGTGATATCAGGTTCAGAGAAGGTAGAATGAGATAAAAAGGATGGAGTTGACATTGGATAAGGGGAGGGACAGTTTTATAGAAGGAAGGGAAGTGGGATGGTCCTAATGGATGTAGGTGTTTATGTTTGATAACAGGAAGTTCTAATCTCATGGGTTTATCTTTTTCAAACAAAGTGATACCATATGTTGAGAATGAAAGGATCAAAAGTTAGAGAATTGTTGGAAGATTCAAAATAGTCATTGGAAAGAAAGGGGAGGTAAATCAACCAGGACAAGTTACAGAGTTTGAAGGGTGCATTTGAATTTGGTCAGATACATCTATAGTAGTTGGCAACTGAGAATTAGACACAGATAAGCAGATATAAGCAAGGTTAGTTTGGGTTGGGGTTTTGCTTGGTGAGACAAAGACAAAAGCAAAAGATATAGCAGTAATGTAACTGAAATGATTAGCCAAAGAATCTAGACTGGAGAAAAAAGGAAATGGGGGTAGGGGCAAATGAGCTAACAAATTGGGAGAAAGAAGCCATGCAGTGGCAATTCCAAAAGCAGTTAGAGAATGGTTGTGGTTGAAGTACCTGAAAATCCTGGAGGAATAGAAAGATATGGTCAGAAAATGGGATGTTTGATTTGGGAAGTAAAATAATGATAGTGATAACTCTCAGGCTGGGACTTACCCCAGATACAAAGACAGAGGTAGGGTAATAGAAAATTTTACCAAAGATGAGTAAATTAAAAAATCTTAGAGGCCATGGAATTTGATGATTATTAACATTGAAGTCATCCAGGATGGTGGCAGGACTGGAGTTTAGGGAAAAATTGAGCCAAGTGTTTAACCCTTTGATGAAGCTGTTATGTTTGACAGCGAGCAGGAGTGGGAGGTGGTTGTGGCCAAATGGTATGGAACTCAGCAGGGTGTTTCAGAGGGTGGAGGAAGTAGCAGCATGAAAAAGGCTCTGGGGAGCAGCAAGGGCACAAACCCTACCTCCCAACTCCTAAAGAGGTGAGGTATGCAAGCCGCTTGAGAAGGCTGCTGGAGAAGTGATTTTCTTAAAAGTGACCCTCAGCTGACCTCCTTTGTGAGACTTTGTGAAATGCTTTCTTTTTCACTAAGGGCATAGAAATGGGTGAAGCTAGAGGAATTAAATGTGTATTCCGTGAAACCAGAATTATACTTACATGGGGTAGCCTTTATGTGGTCCTGAAAAATTATAAAATAATTTAAAATAGGACCTAGTTTTTATTTATAGATTTATAGTTTTGTTTTGCAAGCATTTCTGTGCTTGCTTCCTTCAGTTGTCCTCTTGATAACTACTTTACCCCTGTATTACAAGTGAGAAAAGAGAACACTTGACTGTTAGTGGCAGAGTTGGGACCAAACTCTTGCTTCCAGTTCTTGCTTTGATGCTGTCTTAACTGATCCTGTTGGCTTGTAGTTGTCTATTGGTAATAAGATCCGTTTCACGCATTGTCTGGCTTGAGTATTGTGCTCTGTCAACTTTGCAAGCAGAAATTGAGTAGCTGAAAACATCATTTTAGTCACCTTTTATATATAGTGCAGAATTAGAATCCTATAGGTACATGCTCAAAATGTTAGACGATCAGTTTAAAAAAATCACAAAACCCTCTTCCTGAGTATTGCCCCCAAGTACTAAAACTCACCCTGACATAATCAGGGAGCCCACTTTATCCAAAGCCTTAGAGATAGTAGTGAGCTGATTATTTCTCATTTAGGCTCCAATGATAAAACTGTTCTTCAAATAATGGTATTTATTTTTGTTCTGTTCTATAATAAATGCTGTACTCATGATTCATTTCAAGAAGGAAAAGAGACTAGAAATTAGACCTATCAGTTGGAAAAGGTTACTGCCCACTGATTTTAAAATATGGTTCTTTGTGCTTAGTACAATTTTCAGATATCCTGTTTTTACAGGTGCATAGTTTGAGGCACAGAAATCTTTTGTCTGTGCTCACATTAAATGTTATACTTTAAATCCAAAGTCCTTACTGCATACTTGATATATGTATATTTTTTTAAAAAATGAAGTTGGCATATGTGTTCAGTAAAATTCACTAGTCTTATAGGTAGAGCTGCTTGCATTTTTAACCACTTTCCAATTTATAGAACATTTTTAGCTCCCCAGAAGTTTGCCTCAGGTCCCTTCCCAAGTGGTAAAACTTTCCTCTAACCTTTTTAAATGAGTCTGATATTTTGAGAACTATTCCTAATATTTACCTTCAAGAGACTTTGTCAGTTCTTCTCTTTTACTGTAGAACTTTTACAAAAGTCATGTACTTGAGTCTTTTTTTAAATTTTTTGGTGGTACTAGGGATTGAACCTAAGACCTCATATGTACTAGATAAGTGCTCTACCACTAAACTACCTTCTCCAGCCCTTTATTTTTTTATTTTGAGACAGTGTCTAGCTGAGTTGCCCAAACTGACCCAGAACTCGAGATCCTCTAGCTTCAGCCTCCTGAGTAGCTGGGATTACAGGTGTGTACCATGACATCTGGCACACTTTGGTCCTTTATATCTATGATCCATAAGAGGATTAAGAGGAATTATCTAAATATAACTTTAAAAAGTGATATGTAACAAATTGGATATAAACATTAACTGATGCATATTATATTCATTAACTTAAATTTATTGAGTGTGTACCATGTGCCAACCACTGAGCCAGTGGTGAAAATACATAGCTCCTGACCTTCAAGTAGCTGATATTCTAGAAGAGAGAGACAGACAGACCCATCCACAGAAATAGACAAGCCTTCAACTGTAAAATGAGAGAAACATAAGGAAAAAGCCCTAAATATGTCTAGGGAAACTTTTGCAAAAAAGGCAGCACCTAAATTATAATGAATACACCAGAAGTGGTCTGCTTTGGTTGGAGGGCATGTATTCTACATCTAGGATACAACTAGCTCTAGCTCCTATAAAATTATGGAGTCATAAGAAGATATGCAGATTCTTCACTCTCCCAATGAAAACACTATACAGTAACTCAGTATTGCTTGGTTATGTAGAATGGGGAGATGGTAGGAAACAATAGAGCATCAGAGATTTCTGTGAATTTTCAGTTGAGCCTTGTAGTATCTTGGAAGAATGTTGCCTAAAGATGAATAGTCAGATTAGTGTGTTAGAAAGCTCACCATCCAGCATCATTAATGAAGAAGGTAAGACTATATATAAGGGAACTAAGGCACAAAGAGAAGTTACTGTTCAAGATAATGTAGTTAGTAAGTAGTCAGGAATTATACATGCAAGCAGCCTAAGTCACGTAACCTTAAATCTCAACCACTCTGCTATGTAAAATGTCAGGAGCAGATAGGATGGGGAAAATGTTTATGGCAGATAAGAGCAGCCTAGGAGACTTCAGATATGCTCCTTTGCTGACTAGAATGTTACCTTCAAATTGGTTTTTGTGTCTTATATTGGTGTTATACTTTTTTCTCAATGGTTGCGCTTATGTCTCATTTAAGCTACCATTATTGTTAATTCACAGAAAAAAAAAAAGTCCAGAATGTTGACTAATTTTACAAAACATGTTACCTATCAACTGATGAGTGCATGAGAAATTTTCGAGGCTTTCACAGTGGTTTTAAGGTAAGTTCACTTATTGTTTTTAGGCAATACCAAGTATTGTTCCTGATAAACTATCATAAGGTTTTTTTAATTTTAGTAAGCAGTTGAACTTAACCTTAAAAACACTGTGAGAGTTTTAAACAATTATTTGCTGGCTTGATTCTTCTGTTATCCCAAAGCCCAGAATACTTCTGAAGTAAGAAATATTTTTCCTAGGTAGTCTTCAGTAAAGCTTCATCATAATGTATTATATGTCATTCCATTTTAAAGATGTCAAAATTGAGCCTAAGAGAGGTTAGATCACTTTGTCCCAGGTTATAAAGCATTATGATCCCAAAATACGGATTCTTTCCACCACTCTACACTGCTTCCACAAAGAAAGTAAGGCAGTATGTTTCTCTTGTGAAGGAAGAATGAACTACTATAGCAGCAGTTATCACCAATGCATATGGCAGTGCTCTTTGCATTTCTCCATGGCTGGTCTGGGCCAGACCTGCAGAGACAGCATATGTCTAATAAAGTTAACTAGTATATCCAAGTATTGGTTGTTTCAAAGGCATTTTAGAATGTCTGGTGCATCACATGTTTACATTAAAAAACAGTTAATCTGGCTTCCCCTCTTTTTGTCTATATCTACTCTGTAAGTAAGCCAGGGCAATGGGAAATTTAACAGAAATGAAAATATATTCTTCATCAGCAATAACTCTTCCAATGTAAGTCTCAGTTTATGTTTACTTACTATGTAAGAGAATGTTTTAAAATTAAATTATGTAGAAGCCTTTAGAAGGCATCTAGTTTGGTCACCCTGAAGACTCAGAGTAATAGTTCTAAAATAGTCTAATTGCTTCTTGACAGCAGGAATAAGCTCCACATTTTTCTTGATGATTAATCTACTAGTTTATATCTATTGTTCTTCATGAATTGATGCTACTAAACTCAAAGGATGTAGGATGGACTTAGAATCAGATTCATTATTTTAGAGGATAACAGGAACCTTCTGAGATTGGAAAGAAGAGAAAGGTTTAGTTATTGCAGCTAACTTGTTGATTGTTTTTAATAAAGCTGTTGAAAACTTAGAAGACTATTGAATACTGATATTGAGTTCATTCATTTCTCGATTTGCGAAAGTAGAAAAAACAAAAGTAAGAAACTGACATTTGATAGTGTAGTAAAGTTTAATGTAAATAGTAAGTAGAGACAGGCACAGTGGTGCATGCCTGTAATCCCAGCAACTCGGAAGGCTGAGATAGGAGGATCACAAGTATTAGACCAGCCTTAGTAACTTAGTGAGGACATAAGCTACTTAGGAGACCCTGTCTCAAAAAATTTTCTTAAAAAGGTATGGGGATGTGGTTAAGTGCCCTGGGCTCAATCCTCAGTACAATAAATAAATAAAAGAATAAATATGAGCTGGGGATGTGGCTCAAGCGGTAGCGCACTCGCCTGGCATGCGTGCGGCCCGGGTTCGATCCTCAGCACCATATACCAACAAAGATGTTGTGTCCACTGAGAACTAAAAAATAAATATTGAAAATTCTCTCTCTCTCTCCTCTCTCACTCTCTTTAAAAAAAAAAAAGAATAAATAGAATTTTCCTTTTTTAAAATTCTTTTCATTTTGAAGACTGGATCAAAATGTAGTCTTTTATAGTAATTTTGTTTATATATTTTAAAAAATCAAATATGCAACATTAACTTTTAACAAATAGTAGAATAAGGGCTGGGGTTGTACCTCAGTGGTAGAGCACTTGCCTAGCATGTGTGAAGCACTGGGTTCAGTCTCAGCACTGCATATAAATAAATAAAGATCTATCAAAATCTAAAAAAGTATTTAAAAGAAATAAAGGACATTTAACAAAACAAATAGGGCTAGGGTTGTGGCTCAGTGTTAGAGTTCTCACCTAGCACGTCCGTGTGAGGCCCTGAGTTCGATCCTCAGCACCACATAAAAACAAGTAAACAAAATAAAAAGATATTAAAAAAAAACAGATAGTAGAATAATATCCTACTCATAACCATCAACTTTAATGAAAGAAGTCTAAAAATAAATTTTAAGATATTAAGGGAAGTGTCTCTGAAAAGAATGCTTACATTTTTGGCTTAGAAGGAATAAGGCATTGTGGCATTATCCTGTCCTTTTTAAAAGAATACAACTAAAAGGCATAAGATGTGACATTCTTAGAAAGGTACTTATCGATCCTGATGACTCATCTGAGGGGCCAGTCACCTTACTTTTGTCAAACTAACTTATTTTTAGACTAGTCTTAGTAAGAAAAACACTGTGGGGTTTCCCTCCTAAAAATTGATTTCTTTACCTGTCTTAATATTCAAGAGGCTTCAAATAATTGTGCTTAAGAATCAGGCACCTATAATCTGAAAGTGAAATGAGATTTAGGTTATTGTACTATACATGACAATCAGAGACTGAGGATAGATTCATTTTTGGATAAGATATGTTAAATCAGTGATATTGAGCTGTTCTGAGTATTTGCTGTTTTCTCTCAAATTGCCTTTGGTATACTTGTAGGTATGGGTGAGAGTAACTGTTCTTGGAATAGGAAAGCCCTGCTACACAGAGAAACAATGCTGGCAGCTGCAGCGGTTTACAGAGGTAAAGGATTGGCTGCTTTTTCCACCTGGGCCATGTCATGTTAATTCCCTTAACATTGCCAGTGCTTTCTTGTTAACTGTTAAGTACCATCAGACTTCATGTTCTTCCTTTCGGATATATAGATGCAGTAGCTCTGTATCTTTTTCCTTATCTGCTTATTGTCAGTCTCTCCATGTTAAGAATTTTTTGTGTAGGCATTCTAAGAACCCTGCAATTGCCATATTTCACTACATAATCGTATTAGATTTTGTGCCAAATTTTTTTTGTAAAAAAAGTGCTAGTATCACTTAAAAATCATTTGTGGGCTAGGACTATAACTCAGTGGCAGAGCACTTGCCTTGAATACATGAGGCACTGGGTTCGCTCCTCAGCACAACATAAAAATTAACAAAGACAACTACAATTTTTTTTTTTAAATTTACTAAAACTGTCTTTGGATGCACAGAGTAGGATGCACAGAATACTTGTGAACATACATTAATGTGGTGGTGATGATTATACAGTGAAATATGGTATCCTAGTACCCATTTATCTTTGCAGGAGGTGAGTTTTATTGAGCAAATTTTTTCCCCACTTGCATTTTTTAAGACTTTAACTATTACTTGTCTTTATAGAAATGTACAGAAATGAAGATGGTTCAGTACCTGCCACATACCAGATCTATTACATGATAGGATGGAAGTATCATGATTCTCAGGTAACATTATTTCTGTTTATTTTTCATTGTTTATTAACTTAGGGTGGGTTTTCTTATATGAAAAGATTAAGGGAATAAGGACTACATATATGTATTTCTAATATCTTGAATCTTTATCATTATTATTTTCAGGCAAGACCAGCTGAAAGAGGTTCTGCAACCGTGTCATTTGGAGAGCTAGGAAAATTAAACAATCTTATGTCACAGACGGAAAAGTCACAATAAATATTTTATTCAGTGTTACTGTAGTCCAGAATTTTCATCAGAAATCGATAGTCTTCACATAGAAAATTAATACATTTTGAAGCAAGGAGCAATCTATAAATCATTTACTGGCTGAAATCAAGTAATTAGAATAACTCAATACCACATCTATATTTTGTAAGCATTGCAGGGTCACATTGTTTTTATTTTCATAAGGATGCTATTATCTAGGGATTTGGATCTTTTTTGTCTGTTCAACCTAAGAGAAAAAAAATGTTTTCCTTGAAAACCTACAAATATATATAAATTTTGATTTGATGGGAAAACATTGCTCATGCTGGCATTTTTGTACCTTTTCCTCCTCTGTTCTTTTGTTACTTCTGTGGGAGGACCATAGCCATGGAATGAGAGGAAGAACATGAGAGATCCTTTAGAGTTCTGGCCCATTTAAAATGAAAACAGACTTTTTGTCATGACTGCTATAAAATTTGAAGAAAACAACAAAAACAACAACCTTGATATTAAAATGAAACTGAAGACTGAAGGATATATAAAATACTTAGCCAAAATTATTTGTCAGACTATGTTCTTTGCCTTGAAGAGAAACAAGATTATGTGCCTTTTTAAGAGCTGCTGTGTAATTTTGAACTTTAGAAGAACATGTACTTTTTTTAATCCCTCCTTGCCCTTTTCCCCCTTTTTAAAAGCATGTGAATTCTAATCTTTCTTTGTTTTCACCTCATGGTCAGGGTGGAACCACCATGGTTTTATATCCCACCCTACCTTAGGAAAGAAGAAAACATTTTAAAGAGTTACAGAGACAAAATCACATGTATAAAAGTCTCTATGTAGTGATTAAATGAGCTGTTATTTTTAGACTTTCCTTTGTAATTTCAGACCTTTAGTAGTACCATGCTAATTCATGTTCACTGACCATTGTCATCTAAGTTTCAGAAGTATTTGGAAACAGTCAAGCTCACACATCTTAGAATCAATGGGAAGAAGATAGTGGTAAAAAGAGGAAGCAAGGAGGAAGCTGTAGAACAAACAAGAGTGAGTGCCAAGTCCATTTTCTTCAGTTAGTGGCAAGCTATTTTGCTTGTCCTAGCCTCCTCTTCAGCCTTAAGTAATTTATTATACTATTTACTTATCTTTTTCCTCTCAGTCTCTCTCCCACATGCTTACCCTTCCTTGACCAAAGAAGTACCAGGCTCTTCATGAGTGGGGGCTGTTTTACCCTGCACAAAGCCTACTAATTTGCACATAGTAGTTATTCACTTATATTTTGAATTGAACTAAATTACATGAAAAACATGCCTTTCCAAAGATTAAATTATGGTTAAAAACCAAAGTTTTATAGGAGAAAAATTTGGGGAAAATCTGATGTTTGAAATATCATGTTCTTGGTAGCTTTCTTGTTTTATTTATTTTTTGTTTTGTTTTATGTATATGTGTATATGTGTGTATGTGTGTGTGTGTGTGTGTGTGTGTATTTTAAGTTGGACACAATACCTTTATTTATTTTTATGTGGTGCTGAGGATCGAACCCAGTGTGTGAGTGTGTGTGTGTGTGTGTATTTTAAGTTGGACACAATACCTTTATTTTATTTTATTTATTTTTATGTGGTGCTGAGGATCGAACCCAGTGCCTCACATGTAGGCAAGCGCTCTACCACTGAGCTACAATCCCAGCCCCTATTTTTGTTTTTAACACAAAATGAAAGAAAGTACTAATGAAGTAGAATTTGGGAAGTTGGATTTTGTTTTTTGTTTTGGGGTTTTTTTTGTTTTGTTTTGTTTTGTTTTTAGCTTAATTTTTGGAATTTGAAGACAACAACAACAACCTTGGTATTAAAATTAAACTGAAGACTTAAGGATATATAAATTCTAGGTATTTATGTTTCCAAAAGGACACAAGTTGGCATGCATTAATTTTTTAAAATATTTTTTTAGATGTTGATGGAATTTTATTTTTATTTATTTATTCATATGTAGTACTGGGAATCGAACCCAGTGCCTCACACATGCTAGGCAAGCACTCCACTACTGAGCCACAATCCAGCCCACATTAATTTTTGTTTTTAAAGAATACATACAAAACTGTTAGGTGATTATTGCTGAGGAACTAGATGTGTCTGTGTCAGTCATTCTGTTTGAATGTCTGTCAGGGGATGGAAAAACTAGGAGGAACACTTATACCTGTTAGATTTTTACCTTTCTGTAAATTTGGATTTTTTTTTTAAACCAGGAATATTACTTTTGTTTGTTTAATAGCCGTAGGGTATATGTGGACAGTGAGGTGAGACTGGAGAGGAGTCTACTTGGGCTTTCTCAAAAATAAGCTCCATTAGTTTGAAAAAATTAAAAGAATTAACACAACTAAGTGAGGACTCCTATTGTTTAATGTGATTGGCAGTAATGTAATTCTTTTAATGTAAGTGACAGGTAAAATTAGTTTTTTAGTTAATAGCTACTTGAAGTATTTTATCAAGCTTTAATTGTATGGAACTTGAGGAAATTCATTTTTCTGAACAGAAATTTTTTTCCAAATCATTAGATTTCATTCTTTTAAGCAACAAAATGTCTTATTAAAAATCTTTCCAGGTCTGGGGTTGTGGCTTAGTGGTAGAGTGCTCACCTAGAATGCATGAGGCATTAGGTTCATTCCTCAGCACCACATAAAAATAAAATAAAGATATTGTATTCAAGGGGCTGGGATAGTAGCCCAGTGGTAGAGCACTTACTTGCCTAGCATGTGTGAGGCATTGGGTTTGATTCTCAGCACTGCATATAAATAAATAATAAAATAAAGGCCCGTTGGGGGAAAAAAAATTATATCCACTTAAAACTAAAAAATAAATATTTTTTTAAAAATATTTTTCGGGGCTGGGGATGTGGCTCAAGTGGTAGCGCGCTCACATGGCATGCGCAGGCACTAGGTTTGACCCTCAGCACCACATAAAAATAAAATAGAGATGTTGTGTCCACCAAAAACTAAAAAAAAATAAATATTAAAAAATTCTCTCGCTTTAAAAAAAATATTTTTCAAAACTTGTTACATTTTTAATGGCATGTAGAAAATAAATATTTCTTAATAACCCCACAGTTATTATTATAAATTCAAGTTGTATTTTATTGTTTTTTCCCAAACTGTCTGGCCCTAATAATGATTTGGTTTGTTTTGTGTCTCTGTTCCATACACTTCTTATTTGTTGTCAGTTTTCAGTCTTAACAGTTTAACAAAAATGAACTTAACTGAATCAGGTTTTGCCCCTTCTGATCTGCTTTAAGATTAGAATTCAGGCTGGGCATGGTGACGCACACCTGTAATCCTAATGACTCAAGAGGCTGAGGCAGGAGGATCACAAGTTCAAGACCAGCCTGGGCAACTTAGCAAGACACTTTCCCCCCAGCTTTTTTTTTTTTTTTTAAATTTTAAGGGATGGGGGTATAGTTTGGCGCTAGAGCACCCCTAGGGTTCGATCCCCAGTACCACAAAAAGAAGAAAAAAATATAATTCAGATTGGAATGTTTCTAGGACTTGTGTTTAGGGTTGTCAATCTAATATAGGACTGCAGTGTGTGCTCACTGTGGTATCTGTTGGATGCTGGGAAACTTTCTGGATTGTTTCCTGGTTCTTAGCGATGTTTAAGTTGTTGGCCTAGAGAATTCCAAAGGTAGCAGTATATATGAACGTTAGATTCATAAAACAAAGATTGTTTGCTTTACAGAAAGAACATAGTAATTGTTCAGATTGAAGCTACCCTTGTACATCAAGTATGTGACATGATTATAAGAAGTTATAAATGTGTAATTTATAAAGCATCTGTGAAGTAAGTTTGGTTGTTTTTCAAACCCTTTTAGTACCATCTTTATCCACTAGGTGGAAACAACTACAGTATGGACTACATTGAAGACCTTGTATTACAGTTTTTATACTGATTTATGCAGGACTAGAATGAAAGTATTTTACCATGAATTGGTTTCTGTCTAGGAAAGAAATTAATATTTATACATATTTGTAAAATAGAAAGATATTTTAAGCAGGATTATTATTTTATTCCTTTGTGTACTATTAGTAGCCTCTCTTGCCTAATAAATGTTTGAACTCAGGAAAGGGCAAGGAAGAATTTTCTTGCTGTTGTTAATTAGGTTTAGTTTTAGGAAACTAAAACTAATCATAAATGAACCTGTATTTCCAAAATTGTATTTTAATTTTCCTCCTAGATACTTTATAAATAATCTTAGTGGTTTAAAAAAAAACATTAAATTAAAAATAAAATAAGGTACACTGGGCCCTGGTAAGTTTTATTAACAAATAATAAAATAATGCTTTGCTGTCTCTGGTAGTTTTAAAATCTATCCACAAATTTTTTTATATGCTTCTCTTTAAAAAATGGAGCTTTGTTCCAATCCCTTTGAGTATGGGGATCTAGTGACTTCCTCCCAACAAATAGAATATGGAAGTAAGAGTGTATCACTTCTAAGACTCAGTAATAAAAGGCATTGCTTCCTCCTTACTCTCTCTTGGATCATTCACTGAGAAAAGCCAGCTGCCATATTATAGGTCAGTCAAGCAGCTCTCTGGAGAGATCCAGAGGGTAAGAAACAGAGGCCTCCTGTCAAAAGCCATGTGAGGGAGCTGTCATCAAAACATCCTCCAGTTTAAGGGAAACTTCAGACGATTGTGATCAGAATTGATGTTTTGAATACAACCTCGTGAAAAGACCCTGATCCAGAACCACCCAAGCGAATCTGTCCCCAAATTTCTTACCCAAGAAACTGAGATAAGTGGTGTGTGTGTATGTGTGTATGTTAAGCCATTATTTTTTAGAGTAATTTGTAATATAGTGGTGGATAATTAATACACTCTCTTTGATTGGGTGTGAGGGTATGCTGAATTATAACTTTAAGTATAAAATACCCTACTTATTTAAAATTAAGTAAAATTAATATAAACTACCTTATTACATTTGTTCTCAGAGAAGACAGGCCTAAGATAGTCTTGCCTAGAGGTTTGATTCCATGGTATCTTGAAA